ATGCATGAATGGAATCATTTGCAATGTATTTAAGGACTTTAATGTCAATTTCCATAGTTGTTTTTGATGTATTCAGAGAATTTGAGTCTTTGATTTTTATCCATGTCAAATCCCACATTTGTTCTTGAGATTTGAGCTTACCTTAGGTGGAGTTTTCGTGGCTTGTTTCTAGAATTGTTTGAAATTATCTTTAAATTAACTCCTTGCTAGGTGTCACAATATATACCGGTAATGTTTACCATGATTAATTTATTACTCCTCCCATCCTACTTTCTAAATTTTTTTTATAAAATTATATATATCAATCAAATTTATTAAATATACTTTATAATATTATTTTTTAAAATATCATTCATTTAATATAATTTTATTTGTAAAATATTAAATAAAAAGAGAAAATATAGCAAGGAGGGAAGATCAATATTGGAACAAGCAAAAGTAATGAAATCTTATTTTTATTAAAATATCTTACTTCCTTCATTTAAAAATGTAAGATATTTTTTGAAGAGTTGAATGTTAAAAAATGTAAGACATTTTAAATCTTTCGAAATATAATTATTACCTTTTTTTAAAAAATATCTTTATTGACAATGACTTTATATTTATTATAGGGTATTTAATAGAGGTAAAAATAAAAAGATAGGGTTAGTTTGAAAGTAGGTAACTATTTTATTAAAAATAAAATTTAATTAAAAATGTCTTATATTTTTAAATGAAGGGAGAATATTTTATCAAATTACTTTTAAATGTATCTTATAAATTAACGGAAGGTAAGACGGAGGGAGTGCTATCATTGGTCTCCAAAGATCTACTTTACATATATGCCAATAAAATTAGTTAAAATTATTTAAACTAATTAAATTTGTAGCAATCGCCCCCCTTTTTTTTTGTTACCCTTAATTAATAGTGGACTATTCTATATGTGAATCCTAAACTTATCTCTCATATATTTTATTGAATCCCAGATTCAAAGTGAGACATTTTAGGGGAAAAAACATTTAAATTATCCAAAAACTCAATGTGTGACCTTGTTATGTTGGAGGTAGTATGATGAAGAGTCCTTTGATTTGGATTGAAGCAAGATAAGGATGAATGCCTTAATATAACATTAGTTATTAAACCAATTAAGACAGGGATTTAAAATTTATTAATTTGATTTGATGTTTACCAAAACCAATTGGAAATAAATTAATATAATTTAATTTGGTACATTTAAGGGTTAAACTAGAAATTTGTCCTAAAAATTTTTTGCCAGTTAGAACTAGTATACTTAACCTTTGATTGGCGCAACATTACCCCAAAAATTTTAAATATGATACAATTTCAATCTATAGGAATGTTTGACCAACTTTGATTGTCAGTTGAAAATTTTGATTATGGTTAAATAGTAATATTGCTATAAAAAATTTTTGGAGGGGAAGTAATTGGTGTCATAAATTTTTTATTAACACAATATTTTTGAGTTATTAGTGTTCAAATATAAAAAAAAATTAACAACCCATTATCATTGTTAAAAAGGATTTTTTTTTTTTTGGATTTTGACAAAAGATCTTACCTAATAGTGTTTTAACACAAAAAACTCTACCTCAAACACTCCACAAATTTGCTTTTAAAGTCTGAACTTGCTCTTATTTAGCCCACGAGCCTACTTTTTAGGCCCAAATTTTATTTTTAAATATAATGAGATTTGGGAAACAGGTTAGGAATGGGATTGATAACTAGTCTTGTGTAGGGGACCCATTGGCTCATTTTTCATTTGACAGCTCTTATAATGCAAATGAAAATGTTGCTGCCTTTGTTATGACAGATGGGAGATGTGATGTGAGAAGGATGAAAGTTTGGCTCCTTAGCCACGTTATCTATAAAATTGCTTACACTCCTATTTTGAGAGTTGAGAGTGGAAATGACATTTTTATATGGAGACCGTCTAATGATGGAACTTTTAATATTAGTTCTACCTATAATTTCCTCTTTGCAAGTAAGGATAATCTAGCAAGCGGCGTGTAGAGTAAAATATGGAGATGGAAGGGTCTTAAGAAGTTTCAGGTTTTCTTTTGGCTCATGGAAAATGATAGAGTTCACACTGCTGCCTTGAAAGCTAGGAAAGGCCTATTGGAGACAAGTTGATGCCCTCTTGGATGTTTTGAGGTGAAAAGTGTGCTACACTTACTCAGGGACTATCCTTATGTTGAAGATCATTGGAAATGGCTCATAAAACCAGAATTTTGGAGCTGTTTCAAGAACTTGAATAGAGAGCCATGGATCTTGTGAAATCTTAAACACGAAGCCCAGAAAAAGTTCCATGGGATGTGCTATTTGGTTATGCATGCTAGGACGTTTGGTGTGATAGATATAAGAAAACTTTTGATCAAAATGATTTAGAGTTGATGGGATCAAGCCTTGCCTCCTTGCACAAAGCAAGGTCAAATCTTAATCTTTCATGCATGTCATACACTATGAGTGAGCAGGATAGAATAGGTCTTGAGACCTGGTTCAAACCCAAGGAAGGTAAGGTCATGCTAGACGTTGACTAATTGGTTTGTGACAGTATAGGAAGGTGTGAAGGAGTCATTAAAGACATCAATGCTTACTGGGTTGGAGGTTTTAACGCTTGTGTTGTTAGTTATCCAATGATTTTAGCTGAGCTTCTTGGTATATATTTTGGTCTTCATCTTTGTTAAGGGAAGGGGCATCGTAAATTCAGAGTATTCATGGACTATGCGGAGGATCTCAACCTCATCCATTGTAGTAGTAGTATTCAGCATCTATTTCATAATATTATAAATGACATAAATATACTGTTATGTAGAGATTAGTTTGTGACTATTAGTTTTATATTTAAGAAGGCTACTTTCTGTGCCCACTTGTGAGCTAGTTATCCTAGGATAACTTACATGTTTGGACTATTTTTTATCAACTCCCATCTTAATGTATTAAGGTGATGGATGAGGATAGGAAGTCCTCTCTTGATCTTGTTTTGATGTAATCCTGCTTTATTTGGGATTCTCTACTTCTTTTTTTATTTAAAAAAAAAACATAGAGATGAGACTTGAGGGATTAGATCAAAGAGTGAAATTACTACCTTGGCCCCTCAAATTTTCACTTTTGACATTTCCTCTTTTCACTATTAACTATGCATTCCTTTGATCCTTTCCCAATTCTTTCCCTTTCTCTTCTGCTTACACATTTCAGCTTTTTATGGTTTATGAATAATAAGTACTTATAAAGCATAAAGCATTAATTATTTATATTTACCTCTCTTTATCTATTTACATGTATTAGCAAGTAAAAATATGAATAAGTTATTAATTTCTTTTAATTTTCATCATTATCATTATCCTAAATCATGAAAACGTATATTTTTATGTATTATTTAAAAAGTGTTTTCTTGATATTTTTAATCTTGAATAATTTCTCCAATCATAAAATTATGGTATAATGAAACTTTTGATCCTTTAATGTTTATCCTAGTTACCAATTTGGTTCATGAAGTTTAAACTCTACCGGTTAAGTACTTAAGATTTCATAATCATACACAATTATTCCTTATTTTGTTTCCCCCCTTAGAACACAAGGACCAATTTTGTGTGGTTATAAAATTTGAAGTACTTGATTGATAGAGTTAAATAAATTTAAGGAATTAAAAATTTTATTATCCTTGGAATTAATTTAATGATATATTAATAATAAATATTTAAAATAAAAAATAAAATAATTAGTCATGTAAAATTATCCTCCAACCTGAGGCTCTAGTTCCACCCATGCCCATGAGTAGTTCTTAACTTGTATAAGCTTAAATATAAACTTGTTTAGACTTATTTAAAGACAATATAGACTAGCTTAAATTTTGACTTAGAGGCATTTAATGTACCTCAACCTAAATTCATCTAATTTTGAATTATAACAAGTTATGTTGGATCCTTCTTTTTATTTAAAAGTTGATAATCTAAAAAGCATTGCACCATTTAAAAGTCTAAAATACTAATTATTCCTTTGGACAAACTTTTAGAAAAAAATTGCCTTTTAAAATTCAAAATAATGGTCAATATTGGTCAAACATTATTATGAGGTGACATTACATTATTTTTAAAACTTTTGGAGTACTAATGCATTAATTGAAAGTTAAGAGTACTAGTTACACCTAACAAAAAAATTTGGAAGCAAATTTACCCTTTAACCATATATTTAAATATGATATGGTTATTTGACTAGGCCAAGTTTAAAAATTGTTGGGTCTAGTTAAGAGAAACTCTTCCAATGACATTTTTGCATTCTTATTGATTAAAACTCGAGATCTCATGTTTAAATAGTTATATAGCCTCTTACACCAAGATTAATACCTAATGGTATATATAAATATTATTGCAAATAAAAGAAAATACTACAAAAAAATTTAAAACAATTTAATATTTAAACCCAAACTTGTTAATCTTTAATTTTTCATAATGTCAAATCCAAATCAAAATAAGCTACTAAACAATAATAAATAATTATAATATGTATTTAGTGAACTCGTAATTATTAATAATTTTATATAAAGAAAAAGTTCACTTAAAAACAATGTCATTTTTACAAACAATAAAAAATTATATAAAAAAGTAGGTAGTAATCAAGACTCAAACTTTTCTGGGACAAAAAAAAAAAAAAAAGATACTGCAGTTGACAATCCTCTGGTTGATTCTTCATTTATCTTCAACATTGTTTTCAACTTCAGCAGAAAATTTCTCATGCCAATTCATAATTCAGACTTCTTACTGAGTATAAACATGTTTAAATAGTTATTGTTCAGAGGAGGCATGTCAACCAATAAGAGTGAGTTGGTTTTCTTTGCCATATTCATCAAGCTTTCCACTTTAACTAATGTTCCTGTAACCACAATTTCTGAACAACTCAGATAAGTCCTAATTGCCAATATATCAGTCAAATTGTCCAACACTTCCTGCATCCACACATGCTTCGTTGATACTAGGATGTAAATCGCAAGTGTTGCCAATGAAGAATCTTCCAAATTTGATCCTTTACATTCATGTATTTAGCGACAAGTGACAGAAAGCGACGAAAAAGAACGTGATTATGAATGAACTCACGTCTTAGCATCTAAAATTCACAAACTTCAACTTCCCCTGAACAGTCTTCTCCACAGGGCTCAAAAAACACAAGAAATTGGCTTCAAATCAGGCATATAAAATTTAATTTATAGTCACATATAATAATATATAGTACATTATTCAGACAAAAGAAGGATAAAGCATCATATATGCTTTTTCTTGCTGCTGTTAAAGACAGTGAGGGGGGAAAAACCAAACCAAGACATGCTATTTACTTGTCACATAAACCTACAGCCAATCTCTAAACAGTACTTAATATCTAGGACTACACATGATATATGTCTATATAGTCTACATCAAAATATCTTCAGAACAAGAGAAGACACAGAATGATACAACAGAGGAGAAAGAAAGATACTCTGCTTAGAGACTTGTCAATGAGCATTTCCTGCCTCCTCATTCTATGACTGCCACCTGTAATATGAGGATAGTAACCGACATAACGATATGCCAATGAATTAGAATCAGAATTCCCAAGCATCCTTGCAAAGACCGTTTCTCTGAACATATCAATAATAGGATAGGAGAAACTAGTCAGAGCTGCAACTCCAAGATACGGTGATCTATTAATAATAGCATGTCCTTCATAAAGGTGAGGGCAGTATTGATGATAATGAAATGGCTGCGATTGCGACTGTAAATAACTTGGGTGGAGTTGACCACTTTGAGAAGTCGATGCAGTAGCAGAATTTAACATAGCATTCGAGCTGTGAGGAGGTGGTCTACTAGGTATTCCTGTATCCATCTGGGTTTTCGTGACTTCAGAATCCGAACTATGTGCACCTCGGCCGTAAAGAGGAACTAATGAAGTATGAGAGAGGTCGGATTTACAAACCGGGCATGAAGGTTGCAGATGGTCTGATTCATCAGAAGAGCTCTGAGTTTGAAGCCACCTGAATATGCAAGGCCAGCAGTACAGGTGACCACAAAGAGTGACCACAGGATCATGTGCTGACTCCAAGCATATGTTGCACTCAAAGCAACCATTGTCACTATCAGCCATGCTAGTCTCTGAAGAAATTGATTTCAATTTTTTCTCGCTTGAGACATTCCCGTTACAATCAAAGCACGCCGGTTCCATTTTTTTTCCCCCAGTTCTACAGCAATTCGACCTGTAACAAATTTTTGAACATTTCTTGAAACAGACTGGCAAGGAAGCAAAACCAATTTGATGCATGTGGTTTGAGAGAGTGCAAGAGAGTGAGACCTCATCAACACATAACAAGAATATGTAACTTTATTTGTCTCCAACGGGGGAAAGAGTTTTATGTGTTGCAGCATGGCACAGCAAAAGAATAAGCATATGTCACCAATGCTAATTATTTACCTAAACTCTAGCGGCATGTATATGACATTTCAATACAACATTTCTTAGACATTTGAAAATGTAGTTAATAAGATACCACCAAATATCGAGGTATTGAAAACTGGATGGATTATTGAACAGATCAAGGCACTAGTTCAAAAGTAAATGATCAAAATAGTAATCAATCTATGATCAAATTGGTCATAAACCAGTTAAGACATTTACTGGTTCAAATAGTTAGGTTGACCCAGATTTCTAGGCCAAACATTTCTCTTTGGTAAAGCAAAATGATGATGAGTTCAAAACTTGAACATATCAGCAGAGCAGATTGGATCAAATATATATCAAAGAGATCCAAATTTGAAATTTCCCCATTTCCAATTTATCATGAAAAACACAGATGAAATCATTATCTCAGTGTAGATGAAGGGCAAAATATGAAAAAAGTTTGAAAGAAAAGGCTCACAAGTGAAAAGATAAATGAAGATACAGCTGGATTCAATTATTTGGAATTTCTTCAACAAGTGGAAGGCAAATTAAATTAAAGCAAACAAACGAAGAATCAAAGCTTAAAATTTGAGCCCAGATAAAAATCCGAGAAACACGAGCCAACTGCGACGGTAATCAAGAGCAAAACAAGATACCCAGAAGCCAAACCCAATAAGAAGCCGACAAAATTAAAATCAGAAAAAGAGGACAAGGAAAATTTCTCCTTTCATTCGTAAAGAAGACAATAGCATGTGAGAAAGGGAGAGAGAAAACAGAAGATACCTGTAATGTAAGAAAGAGAACAACAGAAGAGAAAGAGGAAGGATGGTGGAGAGATGGGTGGAATGAGAATAAATGCATGGAGAAGGGTGAAAGGAGGAGAGGAAGATGAAGCAATGCAAGTGGAACGAGGAGTGGGGACACCTTTTTAGTTACGGTCGAGATTACCCTAATCTCACAGGAGGAAAAACGAAGCTTCAACAGCAATATCTTGTTAACTTGTTACTCACTATCACGTGTGTTGTAAAAATTTTACCAAGCTATGCTGATATTTTAAAATTTCGGATATTAGATGTTGGTAAAAAAATGTATTTTAAGAGTATGCATCAAAAAATATGCATATTTAATGAATAAAATTAAAAACTCATTAGATTTTTAAATTAAATTAATGAGCTTAAAATTTTTTTAAATTATAATAAAATAAATTAAAAGTCACTTATAAATATTCTTTAGTTATCAAAATTAGTTGAAGATGGTGATGAATTGGGGATAGTTATATTATGATTCACATATTCAGTCAAATTTATTTTTTTAATATTTTATATTGATATTAATGATATTGTCGCCTTAGATGGGGATTGATCCATTGGTGTCCCATTTTGCGATTCAGTTGAACGGCCAATATCCTTACGACACATTCAAGGGCGTATGCGTCTTTTTGCCACGCTTAATATTCTGTCTCCAGCTCATCACATGACATCGCGAACAAGAAGTCACAAAATTAAATTTTTCGGCCAGCTAAAATTAAAAGTTACTACTTCATAATTATTTATATTGGCGAGAAGCCGAGAATATAGATTTTCTGCTACGCTTAATGATTTTTGTATTTAAAGGAAATTTATCATTTGTGTATAAAGCAAACTTTCTATATATTTTTTAAAAAATATTATTTACTTATTTATATAGATTTAATTCAGTATGTTAAATTTTTAATGAGTAAAAAAATTGATTAAAAATCATCCCCCGGGGGGGACCACCGCTCGGTTTTATCATTTTATGCCACAATAATCAATATCAATAGTATTAATAATTTGATTTAATTATTAGAACTTGAAGCCGAGAATGGTGATGATTTTTGTATTTAAAGGAAATTTATCATTTGTGTATAAAGCAAACTTTCTATATATTTTTTTAAAAAATATTATTTACTTATTTATATAGATTTAATTCAGTGTGTTAAATTTTTAATTAGTAAAAAAATTGATTAAAAATCATCCCCCGGGGGGGACCACCGCTCGGTTTTATCATTTTATGCCACAATAATCAATATCAATAGTATTAATAATTTGATTTAATTATGAGAACGTGACAAAATTAAAACATATTTATATAATATGATCATATCACGTGTTAAATAATCAAAATTTAACACCCACAGCTAAAAACGTTGCATTGAACAATCCAAAACCACTTGCAAATTTTGAGTTGACCAATATCACGTGCTCATGTAAGCTAGATATCTTTGGATTTTCAAGCTCCTTTTGAATCAGGTTACTCTATTTATTTTGTTTTAATTAAGCCTCTATAATTTAATCCATTAAATATATTAATTTATAAAAGTAAAATTGTTATTAAATAATTAAATTTTTTAAGACAAAAATATTTTTGAAGTTTATAAAAAATTGATTTAATACTTTTGGCAAAAATAGGTTTAATACAATATTTATTTTAATTAAAATTTTGGACAAAATAGCAAATTTACTCCTAAATTATAGGTCTATGAATGTTTGGAATTTTAAGTTCATTTTTGGTGCGATGCTCCCCTTCAACTTTTAAAAATGATATAATTTGACCTTTATTATTAACAAAAGTTAATTTTTGTGACATCCCAAAATTTAATTTAAGGATTAATTAAATTAATTGAGCTAATAAAAGTATTTAAGTATTTAAGTGAGTTTAAGAACTTAATTAAGATGATATGTGTATTGATTGAGGATTTAATTTAGAAATTTTGTGAATTGGAAGTGTTAATTAGAAAATCATATATGATTGAGATCAATTAATTGTTTGGGCATTTATTTATGATTAAATTAAAATTAAGCCTAAAATCATGTATAAAGGAAATTAGGTTTCAAACTAGATCTAGAGCCAAAGTATTGGATTTTGGTGAAAATTTGCTGAATGTACAATTCATTGTAGTGAAAGAGACATTTACTGCAGCAAAAGTATTGTTCATCACGGTGAATGTCTAAAAATCATACTTAAAGGTCTATTTGTGAAACAGATGCGATGGAGGTTTTTGGAAGGTTTTGGGCAATTTTCTTTAGCTCTATTAGGATTTTGACTTCTCTAGCACCAGAGCACAAATTTTAACTCATCATAAATTTAGGTAATGCTTCTAATTTATCTCCGACCCTCTAATCTTCTTTCTAATCAAGTTTTAGCATTGATCAAGTTTAAAGTTTAAATCTGAAGCAACTCTAGCCATGGGATTCAAATTTTATGGGTTGTTTGAAGTTAAATAAACGTTATGTATGTTATTTTGATTATATTTACATAAGGTGGTGCTTAAATCTGAAACTCTAGAGTTGTTTTCAATTAGATTAAGCTAACGATAATGGTTTAGAGTTAATCATAATACTAAGTAACTAAGTTTAAGCTAATGAAATTAACTAACAATGTGTATTAAGTATAATGAAGGTTAAATAAGTTATTAGAAATGAGTTTAGGTGTTAATTTTGCTAATCACACTTAACAAGGGTATTAGGCATTAATTGTGATTAATGGTTAATAAATGATAATGAGTCATTAATGATGTTTAATGGTTCTAATTGTAGATTTGGCTACTCTTGGAGCTTGTTGATTGCTTGAAAGCTCATTTAAAATCAAAAGTGTATTCGGGGTGGTAACTGAGCATGGAGGTAACAAAAAGTTAATTTTTTATAAATAATTATTATTTGCAATTACGAGTTGCATGTTATTGATTTTGATGAAATTGATTATAAGAATATGCAAGCATGTAGGTATCAATTGCTAAGACTTATGTGGTATTTTGTCATCAGCTTGAAGAAATAGGATGTTTGACTTGATTTGAGTCGTATAATTATACCATGTTAAAATATGATGAGGGCATGAGATGTTGGCATATTTCATGAAATTTCAATATGGTTATTAAGCATAATGTAATGATGGAATTGCAACCATTGTAATTTTAATGAGCATAACTATAAGTATTTGATTAATTATGCGTGTGATTGACTTGTATTATGTGTTTAAATAGTTACTTGGTGCCATGATAAGCATGAGTATAAAGTTTTGGTATGAGATCAAATATTAGTTTTTTTATGTTAACTTGATGGCATGTGCTTAATTATGAGATAAATTAATTAAGTTTGCATTATGACATATTATTGAGTAACATGAACATGTTACATGATCATGGATGTGTGGGAGCTCACCCAAGTGAGTAAAGACATTATAGAAAAGTCCATGTGATATAGCCTCTATTGAGATTTGTGCATGGTGGTTGGCATAGTTAATTACAGTACATTTATGTCCATTGTCTCTCAGGGATGACATATGTAAGCATGCTTACATAAGATCACTTGTTTGCTACAAGGGACGGTGTGGGTCATGGTAATTATGACATCTTGGTATTCAAGAAGGAATCCATAATCTAAGAGTAGAGAGTAGGTACCACAGCCGGATAACCCTTACAATTGAAGAGCGGGTCAAGTTCAATCACACGAGTTAGTTTTATATGTTTTAATAGTCCATAGATTTAATTAGAAGATGGAAAAAGAGGAATAAAGATGGAATGCATGTGATCATGCATAATTATCACCATTATATTATATGCCTTGTGATTCATGATTAATAGTCTTATGATATATGTTAAATATTGAAAAAGATTGTCAATTGTGATTTCTTGCTTTACGTGCTTGTATTTGCCATACTTTTATATACTTGAATTTATGTGTCTTAGTTATTGAGATTGCATAATCTCACTCTCATTGGTTAATACTTTTTCAGGAAACGCTAACATTAAGGCTAAAGGGAAGCAATAAAGACTAGAGACGTGTAGCTTCTTAAGTAAAGTCTCTAGTTATTTAATTAGTGTATTTGAATCCTTATTATTACTAACATTAGGGGTTTGTATTTATTAGAAAGTCTATTTCATTTGCATAAGCCTAAATATTGTCTTGTGCAATTCTTATTATGGCTTTTCATGGTTTTGTAATGGGAGCTAATCATGCAGAGTATAGTTTATGGTTGATGGTTGAATCATTAATGCATGTGGAGTCTTAGCATACTTATATATGGATGTGGTTTTACCTGATTGTGTATCTCAATGAGAATTTGGTGATGACATTTGGTTGATTTGAGGTTATGGTAATATGTGGATGCATAGAGTCCTAAGTGTCTAAAGTCCCCATTGGTATTGAATTGAGGCGTAACCAAAATAATTAGCTAGAGTATTTAATTGTTTACATGTGGACATTTGGATTATTTTAATTGGAGGTTTGAGTTAAAAATTAAGTGCTGTGGATCTTAGATTTTTTTTTGTTGTCAAATCTATGCTGTTAATTCATATACGCCATGATGAAATATTCAATTGGCTATGGCGGATGTAGTTGTTTGTCTTGGCTGCGATGAGTTATGCCTTTGGCAATGATGAGTAGCCTTTATGCCACAAGACAAGATAAATGAGTGCTTAGTCATGACAGACTTGTCATAATTTATTGAAATGACTGTTTGGCCCTTGTTTAACTTGTTTTGTGTTTGAACTTTAATCAAAGGTCTAAGCTAAAAATTAGGTACTTTGAATGTTAGATTATTTTTATTGTCAAATTTGTGCTGTTAATGGTGAAATGTTCAATTAGTTGTGGCGGATGTGGTTGCTTGTCTTGGCCACAGTGAATTATGCCTTTGGCAATGGCGAGTAGATTCTATGCCATAAGCCACAACAGATGAGCGCCTAATTTATTGAAATGACTTGTTGGCCTTGCTTAACTTGTTTTGTGCTCAAATTTATTTCTATGCTTTTGTACCTGTTTATATTTTGATTTTAAGTGTTTTTAATTATTGTTTTCAAATATGAATGTTTTTTGGATTCCATTTTATTTAAACTTAGTTTTTAAATAATTTTTAGAGATTGAACTAGCTATGGTTGATTCTAGCTTCTGTGGTCATCATGCGTAATCAAAGTACTTGGTATAAATTAGTGTGGTATGGTAAGGTTAATGATGGAAGTCATTACAACTTTGACCACTATTTAACTAGAAAATGATAGAAAAACCTAAAAAATTATTTAAAAAAATGATCCAAAATTACAAAAAATGATATTAAAATTACAAAAAAATATCAAGAAAATTTTACTAGTTGTTTTTTGTAATTTAGAACCTTTTTTTGTCAAAAATTACAAACAAGGATATTAAAATTACAAAAAATGATCAAGAAAATTTTACTAGTCATTTTTTGTAATTTTTTAGAACCTCTTTTGTCATTTTTATGATCAACTAACGATCAAATTTAATTTTTATTAATGATAGAGGTTAAATTACACCTTTTTTTTAAATCAAAGGAAAATATCACATAAAAAATAAGTATAGGGTCTCAGATGTTACTGAACATATAGTTTATATATCAATTTACTCTTTTACCATATTTTTTTTATAAAAGCTTATACCTGTGAAAATTAATTAGAAGACATAATTTAATTATATAAATTTTGAGTTATCGAAATTATAAGATTAATTACAAAGTTATATGATCTTTTATAAAATATGAAAGTTCTTAATATATTTTTTAAAGGAAAAATTCAAAAATTTTAAACTTAAGGGATTAATAAATATAACCTATCAATTTGATGAAAATAAAATAAAATATAAAGACTGACTCCCAATATGATATAACTTACTCTCCCTGTTTTATTCTTTTAAAATTACAAGCACATTCTAAATATAGTTTCTTATAAATTATAAGCCAAATCTTATTAATTGGACTCATCTTTTATGACATTGAGAAACAAAGGTAATCATTAATGACAAGTACATTTTCGTTCGACATATTCAATCTGAAACATAGTAATTATTAAAATAAATTACCCCCTTCATTTTTTTTACCAACAAATTACCCCTCCTTCATTTAAAAATATGTATTTTTTAGAGTTTTTTTTTCATTTTATAGACCAATTTAGAACTTTAAAGCTCTATTTATTATAATTTTTCTTATTGTCTCATTATTAACTGCAACATCTTTAAAACAATGTTTATCAAGTTTTAGAGATCAATTTAACAATGTACTTAATATTCTTATATGGTAATTGCATTTTTTAATATGTACTGTATGCCAATACTTTAAAAAAGATACAGGCATTTTAAAGTAAATTTATTAAAGATTGTGAAACAATTAAAAGTTTGGCGGCTAGTAGATACGGCGAGGCCATCAACATTCAACCCAATGGCCCCTTTTGTGTGTGTGTGTGTGTGTGTGTGGGACAGGATAATTATGAAATTTTATGAAACTTTAAATTAGATTTTCTGATTAACAACCACTAATGACTAGTACTTCTTACTGTCCGTCCTTAATATAAGATATTAAGATCTAAATAATTAATTAGTCCATAGAGATTAAGAAAATTGATTAAATTGATTATTTGCTATTTTCATGTAAAAAATACTTCCTTTAATCTTTTATATACAAGTCACATTCTAAAAAAGTTGTGGTGCTAAATAAAAGTCATTTCGCAAGCAAAGATTATCTATGCAAGGGTTGGGATTTGAGTCTTTAGCACTAACATCAACTTTAGTTGATTAAGAGTTTGTAACTGTTTTTTTGTGTGGGTAATATTGATTGCTTTATTTCAAATGTATATTATTTTCAATTTCTCAATTTCTAAAGAGGAGATAAAGAAGGTTTATTTTTTAAATTTATGGCATTTATTATGGGTGAAAATGGAAATCAAAATATTTTTTAGATAATTTTAATGATAAACTAATTTTCTTGATTCATGACAGGTGACTTAAGAACTATGTGTTGTCTTTTCTTAAATACTCCTCTTTTAACGGGGAAAAAAGAGTGAGAAAAACTATGACATCAATCAAAAAAATATGAATGAGGGAGACAAGAAAGATTAGAGTCTTATTTTCAAGATCAAAATAAATTCCTCAACTAATCTTATATTTAAATTATGAGGGAGAAATAATTAGGGATTTTAATAATTTTTGTGATCAACAAATTTATTATCCACCGTTCCGAACAATGAAGTTTGGAATTTAGTATCCCATGCTTATACACTATACACAACTTAATGATATTGGTTGAGACATTTATTTATCGTGAAATATCAAAAGCAATCACAATCAATTTTACAACGACGCGAGTCCTTTCCATTGTTTCTCCACCAATCAAAGTGCGCTTTAATTAAAGCTAATTGAGTTAGGTGGCAACTCGCATTTGATCCAACTAAGTCAAGCGGAATCTTCCTGTGGAGTCTGAGTTATCATTTTAATTATGGCCATTGTTTCACTTCATGTTACAGGCTTGGTCCGTGACTTCATGATCAGTCAAGTTCCAATGCCATTAAAAAAAAAGAAAAGAAAAGAAAAGAGACATGCGAAAATGACAGTGTTGAGTGTTTTACACTCGTCGTTCAAATGACGATTTCATTGATCAATCACATCTGTGTTCAAAGGAGAATATCATCATATGGCTTGTCTCAGGTAATTTTGCTATTATCTTCAGCACCCTCTCTTCTATGTTCCACCAAGTTGTAGCTTGCAGAGGACAATTTAGGATCACGCCCTCCAAGACTTGTGAGAGCTAGCAGTGAAATGAAATGAAACCAACAGTCTAGTGCTCAGCTAACCTTATCAACTCTTTATATTAAATATGGTTAAAAATAATTTACATTATTAAAATAATTTAAACCACTTAATTATACACATCTAAAACTCTATACATTTTAATCTATCTTTAATCTTTAAATGAAAAATTTTTTTGACTTCTTCATCTCTAATAAGATAGTTAACCTCTCCTTAATTTCTCTAACTCCCATTAGATGAGGCTAGCTCCCCATAACTCAATCCATAAGCTTATGACATAAGACTTTACACCTATATTAACCAACTCAATTAATTTTAATGGAAAGATTATTTTAGAGTTTCACGCAAGGAACTTAAATAAAAAAAATTATAAAATCAAAAAATTACTCTAAAATTCCATACTCTTTATTGGAATCGTCAATTATTATTGAATAGTTATCATTACTATTACTTGGTTGTCTACCAAACCTCCCTTAGAAATATAATTCTTAAATTTTAAAATAAAAATAATAAGTTTATCATTAAAATTTAAAATAAAAAAGTGCAATTGCCTCTTTCTCCGTCCGAAGAGCATTTACATTGCATATTGCCGTGATGAGCATCACTGTTGAAAAGCCATGAAGGCGCAGACTTTACTTTTGACTATCATACAAGAGATGCAGCGCAGCTTGTTCACTTTAATTTTCCAGACCTCACTTACCCATAATTGACATTAACTTTCTTAGGTGTGACTATCAAAATGGCTAGCTTTGACATCTTCATCTGCAAATTTATTTAATTTTAATTCTTAAAATTTGTGATTATAAACCGTAAAATTTTCCTTGCCAGAAAACTTATGCAGATTGATGTAACTAAGAAGCAAATTATCCAAACTTAAGACATCTGCATTCAGAGATGAAAGAAGCTAAAAGTAAAATAGCTTTACTTCCAACAGACAACTTACAAGCTAATAATCTCACAAGAATTTTTCTATGCTAGTGGTCAATGTTGATTTGGGCACAGCACCAATAATGGTTTCTTTCTTCTCACCATTTTTGAAGATAATGACAGTTGGGATACTTCTGATCCCGTATTGGGTAGCGACCGAAGGGCTCTCATCAGTGTTAAGCTTGTAGCACTTCATCTTCCCCAGCATATTGCTTTGCTAGTTCATCAATTATAGGGTGAATCATGCGGCGGGGCCACACCATGGGGCCCAGAATTCAACACCAAACCGGAGATTCAGATTCCAGGACGAGTGACTGCCAATTTGCATCAGTAATAGAAGTCACTGCAATATTTTGTATAGAAAAAGGTTGTCTTCAATTAGTAAATTCTTTCAGAACAAGTGGACAATCCATTGAAGCGTAAAGAGATCATAAGGAATTACGTGCACTGGCATCACTAGAATCATGAAGAAAGCAAGGCATCAGCACAAGGCAGGGTTAGAGACTTGGTACAATACTTGAATAGATCGTTGTTTTATTATAAATCATAGGCATGGTCCGAATACACTGCAAACTCTTGGCAACAACAGAAAATGGTAATGCCAATCTCCAAATTCCCATCAATAAACCCCACAGCATTGAAATGGATCTGTTAAAGCTTACATGCATGATGGAAAATCATGTAGTTGAGATAATTGAGTTTTACAAGTAGTAGTATATAATGTTCTAAATGAGAATAAGATCCTAGGACAGCATCGGAAGCCCTTTTTTTTTTTTTTGGCCTGAAACCTTATTAACGGAGGAATTGTTAAATCTTTCTTACACCACAAGATTGGAAGTTGCGCACGCAAAAGAAAGAATGTCCTCAACGGTCCGGAGAGTTAGAATCGCTTGGATCAACAAGGCATAAATTATACTGATATTATAATCACTCCCATAATGGCATAAAACTTAAACCACAAATATTACCATCTGCTGAATGCTTCATCAGAAAGAGATCATGCATTGAATATTGTCGACCAATTAGTCTTTAAAAAAAAAAAAGGATAACTACTGTAATAGCTCTCAAATTACATTAATTCCATGTAAGCAGAAAACTGGAAATTACTATATAAGTTCGATGTTACTTATTGGATCCACTTGTACAATTCTCTTAATGAATGGGTTAGGTTTGCACCATAAGTTTTTCTATAGCAAGCAGGAGATAAAGTCAAAGTAGTGTAGTAGATTTTATTATGGCTGAAAAGTAGTGTAGTAGATTTTATTATTTTATTATGGCTGAAATTATTTAGCAACAAATTCGAGAAATCTCCCCATGACTGAAGAAAAGGGAAAAAGAAAATGACCCCTAAAATATGGAATCGAAGCGGATATTTCACATTGATTTTGTCCGAGTTTCTAATCTAACTAACAGTTGCGGACCAAAGAAGTTTTTGGCTTCTCTCTCAATTGGTAACGTCATCTACCTTCATAAAGCGTCTCAGTTCAATCAACATCGGCCCCCAAAAAAAAAAGTAAACTTAAGCACTATACCCAAATTTGGGCTCTGCCACTCCGGTTTCTGGATTGCATACAGGCATATGACCAAACTTAAAAAATGAACACGCGCACACACAAACCCTCTACATATGTGTGAGAACCAAAGTGATAAAGGAAATATATGAAACTACCAAGGTGACATTAAGTGATGATCTAATTTGAAATTGCATGCGTAAAGCAACTATAAGTGCATGATGCACTGATTTATAATACTCAATTGGCCTATGTCTAGTGTGATGGAAACAGATTGTTCGCTAATCTAAAGTTCATCAGCTAATAGCGAATGCAGCGGACCATCATATCTTTCACTTTAATCCACAGAATATTCTGGTCATTACAATCAGTCTTAAACACTAGCATTTGAAGTTTCCGTTCTTACAATTACTAGACCATCTTCAGAATTTTTTTTTTTTTTTAATTTTCCAAACCCTTGACGCTAAATCCAGAAATAATTTACAATGAATAAAATCAACCCATTAAAAAAAATTAACCTTTTAACTTAATCAAAACAGAATCCCTATGTAAAAAAAAATTAGAAGCGGACCTTCAACGGCGGTATCTCGAGCCTCGCACACGACCCGCCCACTGCGACGAGCGATTCTCGAGGGGGAAGCCGGCGAGCAGGAGAAACGAGTGATTGAGATGGGTCTGAGCTTAAGGCCTCGGAACTGCGACAACTTAAGAGAGCTGCGACGGCCGGAAAGCGAAGGAATCGAAAAAGCCGAGATCTGAGAGAAGGTGAGGGAAGGAGGAGTAGAAGAGCGAGAAACGCAGAGTGAATCGAGAAGAGCGGCCATTGAAGAAGGAGGAGGGGAGACCTAGTAGTAGAAGAAATTGAACAATTGAGAAAAGAGGATTTTGGGAAACTTTTTCTATAGATAATATTATGACGCGAATGGATGAGGTGGTGTCGCGGGACTGAGAAACTGAGAAGAACCAAAATACGGTACGGTGATTTTTTTTTTTTTCCCCTTCCTCCGGTGTTAGTAGGTGTCCCATTCAGACCACGCCACCTCATTCACGGGTCGCGGGAACACTTGGGGCCCCTTGCAATTGTAGTTTCTAGTGAGAAAGGATAAGTGATATTTATATATTTTCATGGCTTCTAACAGGAGCGTGGGTCAGATCCCGTTGTCTTAAAAATAATTTATTGGCAAGTAATCCGTGGGTGCTTTTATTTGGCCAAAAAAAATAAATCCATGAATGCTTTTATGAATGTCTCAGCAAATCCTTGTAACGTTGAGATCCATAAAATTTTAAAATAATTTTAAATTTTAATATTTTTTCATCTAATATGAAATCGTTTATTTTTTGGAATTTTTTTTATGAAATTCACATATTTTCAGAATATCCATTCATATAATTGTTGGTTAAGCAATAAAATCAATTCTTTTATAGTTTAAATAAATGCTGTTACGACTCATGTTGAAGACTTAATTCACTGAAATTGTTTTCATTGGCAAAAAAATTAGTACAGTTTGGCCCAGTTATTTTATTGCACAACGACTTTAACAGTGATTATAATGGTTTTGAATGGGATCAAATTTTATTGTTAATGTGAGAACTTTACTTAAAAGTAATCTTTAAGTATTTTTATAAGTACTTTTTGAATTGAACCTATAGACATTCTCTAATCTTAGTGAATTCTGTATCTAACTCAATTAGATTTTCTTTCATGAAAAAAATGTCATGTCTCATGTTATTCTCAGTTGCTTTCTCCCTTTATGGTTGGGCTTCTTGTATTGAATTTTGTATTTTTTATATTAAGCTTCTTATGCTGCTTTATTTTCTTTCAATTAATGACAATATATTCTTCTCATCTCTTCATTTGCTGCTTTGGCTTGTTCCTGTTCACTGCTTTCTTTGTCTTTGCTAATAAATTTTCTCTGATTGCCCTATATTTGAAATTTTGGTCATTAGAGGAAGCATGGTCTTTGGATCAATGGTTTTAGTTTAGCTTGCTGATTTTAGGCATCATGCCTTTATTGTATGAGCAGTTCCTTCTCATCTCAGTGCCTTTATGTTATGGCACTTTTATGCTTGAAGATAGGTTTTATTTGTTTTATGCTGATGATTTCATCTCATGCTCGTGGGTCTTCTCTTAACTAGCAATCATTTTCCTCACATGATCACTATTTCATGCAAGGGCTTTCTCATGGACTTGTATGCTTTTGTATTTGTTGTGGTTTGCCTCTTGCCCCAGGATCGATTTTCTCTGTTTTACTCAAGCGACAGGGACACTGATATCTCTGCGGATATTAGATAATTGTTAGTGGCCTATGGCTTTTTAGCCTGCTCGTTGAGAACTGTTGGTTCTCTCATCAGTACCTTTTTGGAACCATTCCTTTTGGAGGCGGGACTTTAGCCTTTATGCAAGTGATACATTATCAGCTTGTGGTTCTTCTTTTCATCAACAACGACATATTTATCTGTTTTTTCCATTCATGTTGTTTGTTTTAATTTGTGGCGTTTCTTCAAGCCCAATTTCATTTTTATTGAGACCTTTATGCTTGTAAGGGACTAACTGTACTTGGAATAAATTGTCCTTTCTTCAAAAAAATAATAATAATAATCACAGTATGTTTAAAATTATTTCATAGATAGATTAATTTTTCAACGATAGAAAAAAAAACACACAATCTATTTTATATAACAATAGCAATCATACCTTATGGTTAAATTCCAATTTCATACAGCCCAGAGCCAATAATTTGGACTAAATTAAAAAAAATTAAGGTTGAGCTTAATAAAATTATAGTTTTTAATGTTTGGGTCTGTTTGAATAGATCTGAAAAAAATTTAGGCCAAGCCTTATTGTACATAGTCATGGCTCAAATACCCAAATACAAAAAATTTTATTTTAAAAACTATATAAAATATTAATTATTTTTTAAATTTTAGGTCATTTATACCAAGATACCATATGTTTGAATACATTATTAAGTAAATTAAGGTTTAGGTTGACTTAATTTATTATTTTTAATTATTTTTTGTAACATCCCAATTTTTGCTCCTAAAATTAAAGTGACATTAGAATATAATTTATTAAGTAAATTAAGGTTTAGGGTGACTTAATTTATGTTGTCCAAGGTGTAAAGGCACAAAGGTCATGATTTAATAAAATAGAATATGAAATTGAAAAAAAAAATCTTGATCGAAATAAATTAATAATTATATTCTTAAAACATCAAATTATTATTTTATCAAAAAGAAGTACAAAAATTAGGGGTAGTAGATATTTATTAAAATATTGATATGTATTTATACGATTATTTCATGGAAATTAAAATGTACCATATAATTAGATAAGAAACAAAAAATATCTAAGAAGATTTAATTTTTAAAGATATACTACCAGATCATGATTTATAAAAAAAATTAATAAGATTGAATAAATTATGTAAATTATATGTCACATATTACAGTAGTCAACTATTATGAAGATTTTATTTGAGTAAGTTAGCATAATCTTTTAACTTTTTTGCTGAGTAAAAAAAAATATTAGATGGAATTTAAAAAGAAAAAAAAAAAGACTACAAGGGCGAGGCAAATTTGGATAATGGGCCAGAATAATGGGCCGTGGCCCAGTATCCTTTAATATTAAGTGGCAAAAGCATTTCCTCCCCCCGCATTCATTTCATTTTGGCACACGGGGGGAGGGCTAGAGCAACAGCGTCACGTCGTCAAGAGAGGGAAAAGTTTTTGAAGGTAGGTGCTATTATATAATACTTCGAAAATGATATGAACTTTTTTAACAATAGGTAAATTTTCTAAACATTTTTCTAAGCATATTTTTTCTTTATTTTATGAATTTTTAACAATAAAAGAATTTGGGGTGTCTATAATTTTAAAATTTGGATGGTTCTAACCAATTAATTTGAGCTTAAATATGTTAAGAGAGTCAGATTAAGTGTTTACTTGGTTTATATTTGTTGGATTTAATGATTCAAAGGATTTGTAATTAAATGGGTGTTTGAGGTAGTTAATGATATTCTAACAATTTAATATGAAATTAGTGTGCGGATCATGTTTATATAGGATGGAATTGAGGTTTGATTGTTTTATAAATTTTAGTTTGAATTTAATTGTGATTTTGAGCAGGTTGGAGAAACTCAAATTGAAGAAATTGGGGATTAAGTTAGTGGATAGTGTGTTTGATTAGGCTAGTTGGAGCCTAAATAAGTCATTTGAGCTAATAGGTATCTAAGTTATCAAGTGAAAATGAATTTTGGGATTTTTGAGTTAAATGGGTAATTAGAAAAAATGAATTTATAGTAGAAAATTGATGATTTTGAGTTATCTAAATTGTAGATTGATTCTTTTGAGATCTTGAAGTTGTTGGGAGCATTGATTTGCCAAGGATTCACAATACCTTTTTTGAGTCACTAAAAGGGTGGAGGTTATCAAGAGTCTAAATTCTTTATATACATGTTTTAAGTGTTTTTGATATTATAAAATTATGAATTGGATATTTAAATATGAATATGCTCCTTTGATATTTTAAAAAACATGCAAAGTGGGTGTGAGTTGATTTGTTGAAAGTGGTGGATAAATTAAATATATTATTTTATATGGAAAGTTATGAGAATGATTTGAATATATTTGATAATTGAGTTTTGAGAAAAATGCACGTGTTTATAAAATTGAGTATGATGTATGAAAAGCATGGTATTGCGGCATGTGAAAATATATTATTATATGTGCAAGTATGAGTGGACATAATAACATGACTGTAAAAGTAAAATGGGCAGGAGCTCATCATAATTAGAGATCATAATTATACTGTAAGTCTACATGACATGAACAACATTTGTGTAGCTTTTAGTGTTAGATAACTGTGATAACAACTCTAATGAGAGTTTGGTATGGTTTTAAAGTAATCGATAATACTCGCTCTGAGAGTATGTGTTAATGGTAATAAATATGACACTATAGGAATTCGATTACTAGTGATAAATATGACAAGTTAGGGCAGCGATGACTTTTGCCCAAGTTACCCTCCTAATATTGTAAGAGTTTAAGTTAGTTCGATCACACGAGTGGATCCTGTTACAAATTACAGCCCATAGACTTGATCATGAGAGATAAGGAGGAGATAGAAGGAAAAAATTAATTGATCATACATGCTTAGATACATTGCTATGATATGTAATTGTAAATTACCTACTTTACACGCCTTAAATGTTTATGTTCGTGTGTATTAGAAGTTAAAATTTTTTGATTATTGAGATATTTATTTCAACCCATATTTACTATTTGCCTTGTAAAGGCTTGGTAAGTGGCAAGGAAAAAGAATCGGAGGCAACAACCAATGACTAGATTAGTAATGCCTTTTAGTTGGTATGTGTAGAAATTGTTGTATTAAATTTATGTATTGTCAACCTAGAAACATATAGTGCATTTAAGTTTGTGTTGAAATTATAATTGTTATTGAAATTTGTGACTAATTTGTTGACAGTCTAACTAGTTTGGCCAACCAAATCTATAATGGCTTATATTTTGGCTAATGAACTTGTATTGTGTAAGATTATAATTGAGATATTATTGAATATTTTGAATCTAGCTATAATATTTAGCTTAAGCTGCTTGTGATACAGTTGAAAATATTGTGATTAATATCTATGTAATCTTAAGGTTGATGATGTTTATGGTTGAATTTGTAGATTTTAATGTTATGCTGGGTCTCAAGGCAAATATGCTTGTCTTACTAGTTTAGGAGTTCAACTGTGGTAAAATATTGAAGTCATGTAAATTAATTGTTTTGTCTTTATATCGTTGAGTAATCATATTGATGGGTTCCTCCATGCTTTTGTTTGTTTGACTATTCTAATTTATTGCTTTGAGCTTAATAGTTTTTGGAAATCTATTTTAATTGGGATCCTGTTTTTAAAGAATTTTTAATTGTCCTTGTTTCTATATAACATGATAGCACAATCTAATTAGTGAGTTAATTGTGATAGTTATTATATTTTTAATCTATAAAACACTCAAAATAATATTTAAGATCTATTTTAATGTTAATTTTTAAATCTTAAGTATCTCAAAAAATATTTTAATAATAATTTTAAATATATGTTGTATAAAATAAAAATAATTAATTTTAAAGTAAAAATTAATTAAAGTTAATTTAAAAAATAAAAAATTAATAATTTGAATAACTGGGCTAACTAGTATAAATCCAAAAAGGAGTTGGGCTTTACAATTCAAGTTTTTATTTAAATTTGAGCTTATTTAAACCATCTCAAATCTGACTGAGCTTCACCCCAGCCAAGTGTACCCGGCCTGTCGGAAGTCCCGGTTCTAACACCTTGCATTGACCAAAAGAAAGAGATAAATAAGCGTGATAAACGCTAGTCTTCAAAAGTGGACATGGAGGTGCTGCAAGACCCCAGTCCATTACCTAACCCAGCAACGTTTTCACCCAAAATTACGCTTTAATCCTCACACTTAAATTTCTTTAAACAACAATATTATTACTAATATTAATATGGTTTTTTAATACACGCTAAGATTTTGGTAAACTCGACCTGAGTAAAAGATCATTTACTCTCTCCATTCAATATTAATGATATTTTTAATTTAATTACACCCTCAGTTAATTAGTTTTTTTTTTAAATTACAACTCTTTCCATAAATTTTTTATTTAAAATATTTTTTAAAAAACTTATTAATTACATCTTCAAAAATTCACAATACGTTATATTTTTTTAGCATTTACAATATTGAACATTTTATAGGTGGTCATCGCTTTGGGCAGTTAAGTGGAGTTTCCCACGACTCAATGGCAAAACCGTAATTATGACCGATCGGGTCAAACACAATCTTTTTCCCCTTCGTAACCTCTGTCAAACCATCAACAATACCTTCCTCGCGTCAGGCAGGATCCTCAAATCCCCAGGTTTTGATACCACGCGCTCACCCATTGGGCAGTGTTGTCCATGCTCCTCCCAGCTTGTGAACACCATCGCCATTCCTTTTCTATAGAAAATTCCTCAGTCAAACTTCAAATGCCGCATACCAAATATACTCCCTTCTTCTTCCTTCGGCCATCTCTCTCTCTCTCTCTCTCTCTCTCTCTCTGCGCTCATGGATATGGAGGAACTGAAGCTGAAGCAGGAGCTGCAAGAGAAGAGGCTCGTACAACAACACAAACAGAAGCCAGCCGAGCCGAGCCATGAGGTTCGACTGGCTGCACTAGCCATCACTTTCAACGCACGCCTGAGATCATCCGACATGCCCCTCCACATGCAAGAGCATGCCCTGCGATACACCAGATCACTCGTCGGCGATCCGTCTCCTTCCTCCTCGAAGCCCCGACACAACCCGACCCACTTAGCTCGAGCTCTCAAAAAGGTAGCCATACCTTAAAAACCAGTTTATAATGAATATATCATATAATGACAAGTAATATATATGGTCTGTTTATATTAGTTAGTATTGACCTCCTGGTTTCCTTTGAATGACGGTCTGGGCCGGGTTGATAGGAGTTTGACTCGGTTTATGGACCGGCGTGGCACTGTGTGATAGGGCGGAGTTTCGGGTCGTTCGTGACTCACACGGCGGGTGGCTTCGTTTACTTCTCCATTGACTCTCTCTCTGTTCTTCTTTTCAAAACAGAGGTCCACTTGGTTAAGCAACCACCACCGACTTTGTCTAAATGACCTTATTAGCTTATGTTTATTGTAAAGCTTTGTCTTTTCTTTTCTTTTTTTCTCTTGCTGGGGACGATGACACTATGAATTTGTTACGTCTTAATAGTTTTATCTGAATGTTATCCACATAGACATATAGTCATGCATGAAGAGAGGAAATGTGTTGACACTTGACAAAATGACAATCGTTTTGGGTTGAAACGTCATCTGATTGAGTATCATCGTGAACACAGAACACCATATCTTTCTTGGCCAGTGCAATATTTTCGCTAATATTTCCTCGTGAACTTACAAGCTTGAGAAAATGGTAGTTGCTAGTTTATGTATCATACATTTGATTTGATTTCGGCTGCTCAATATTTTTTTTTTTTTGGTTCATGTTTGTTGTCTCTTCGGAATTGGGTAAGATAGGGTTCCAATTGTATTTAATATGTATATATAGAGAGAAAGGCGATCGATTCGGAGATGAAGGGCAAAGATTGAATAATGGGACATAAATATTATGTATTTATAAAACAGATGTGTTAGGAAAAAAATTCATAAGGGGTTCGATCGACATGGTCGTGTCTAGCATGTGTTGTTGTTTTCTAGTTAAGTGATCACACGACAAAACAAAAGGCACGCCAAAAGTTTAAACGTTGAAATGTTGAATATAGGCACTGGCCTCGCTTCTTATATTAAAATGAAAATAGGTCATTGATCTTGCATCACAATTTTTACGATGAATAAAAACGAAAAAGACAAACGCAGTGAAGAAGGCCGAATTTGGATAACAATGATGCAGTATGCTCTTCCACAGCCTTTTTTTTTTAAAAAAAATAATATATAAGGCTGCTGCCAAAATGCATAGAAAGTAAAATTAATTCATATACTGACTATCACGACACTCAATTGGTGGAGACTCAAACTGCGGAGAAAACAAATTAACTGAACTTTCAAATGAGCACGTCATTGTTTAAACAATGCAGAACTCAGACTTTGACACATCTCATCATGATTGTGAATTTGGAAATTAAACTCTTAATTAATTCTTGAAAAAGAAGGAATGAACATATGTTTAGCTATGGAACTGTGAACTAGTTAACCAGTGCAAAGACATGAACCAATAGTCACGATGAGAAACTTGCTGAAGACAGAACTGAGGATGTTTACAAGATGTTCGTTGAAATACGTGTTGGCCTGGTCGATTCGTGTCAGTTTTGTGGGGATTGCTGTCTTGTCCTGATGCTTTGTGGCGTCCCAATTAATTTCCCTTTTATAGAAGCCGTTTATCTTGTACTAGTTCCATGATGCTTGTACAGTTGTACTCAACGCTCATCCCACGTTCTTCATCTTTTCTCGACACAATTAACTTCCCTTTGCTAGTTTTGCTTGGACTCTTGGCCTCTTCGAGAATGAGAAAGAAAAGTTTAGATGAGTTATGTTTAAGAAAATTTATTATGGTTAAGGTATGCTAAGACTAACATATATATATATATATATATATATTATTTTTTTGTATAATTTGAATAATTTTTAGATAATATTTATATGTAAAGAGTGTTATTTTGATCTAACATATGTAATTTAATGATCAACTAACGATGTAATAACTGGAAATAAAATCTTAGAAATGAAGGGGATGATCGAATATTTCACTCAAATGTTTATAATCTTATGAAGGTATTTACATTTAATTTAAATAATGAAATTTTAAATTTACATCAATAGTAATTTAAACTCTCTTTATTATGAAATATGAAAAACATACCTTTGAGTCCCTATACTTTGTTTGTGTTTTATTATTAGTCCCTATATATATTTTTATATTTTTGATCCCTACACTTTTTTTTTATTATTTTAAATCCTTTCATAAACAACATATAAAAATCTTGGAGGAATCTAAAATAATGAAAATAAAAGTATGGGAATCAAAAATACTAAAAAAAAGTATAAGGACTAATAGAAAAATGTGAATAATATATAAGAATATAAAGTTATATTTTGATTTTTGTATGAAATATTAATTACATTTTTATCAATGGGACCAACTTTTATTAGTGAACGTCACTCTTCACTCTTTTTGTTTTTTTTTTTCTTTAGTACAAGGCCATACATGCAAAACCAAAAAAATGAAGTGACATGCTAGAAGTCAGAATATATCCGCACCCCTGAGGAGGGATGAAGTATCTTAGAATTAGTGTCCATGTAGACTGTAGTAGATTTAACAAGGAAGGGAACTTTAGCTCCTATATTAATATAAAAAATAATCATCTACTCACATGTGATCGAATAGCTAATATATGATATGATCTCCTAAAAGCGGATCAAGGAATAATCCTTTGATATCCTTTGTTTTAGCTTATTAAGTCTTGGTTGACTTTCTTCTTCCTATCAAGTCCGACCCTCCTTTTATCTTTTCTATTGAATTTTAATTTTAATAGTTGAGATTTAATATATTATAAAATTATTATTATAATCAATAGAAGTTGGATCTAATAAAAAAGATTAGTTTTTTACAACGTAATAAGTTCAGGTTCGAGTTCTTATTGAAAAAAGTGTCTGTATTTAATGTTTAACCATATATCAAATAAGATTATTTCTAATAAGAAGATAAATATAAACAATAAAAATATTATAATATTAAATAATAAATAAATTTAAATTATTAAAACTTGATGACAATGGTTTAAAAGTATAATAAAATTATTTCTAGTTTTATAATATACTCCCTCCACTCCTTATTGTAAAACTTGTTCAACTATTTGGTTCATTTTAATGAAAGTTAGTTTTTTTATATCATAAAAAAATAACATGTATTTCATCTTTTACAAAGTGTCCTATATGGTGGATAAAAAATTACTTTTAAAAAAAAATATTTCATAAATAAGATTGGAAGGAGTATTAAATCTCAACTATTAAAATTGAGACTAAGAGGAAGAAAATGGGAGAAGGCTAGAAGAAGGGATTGGTATCAAGAGAGAAACAAGTCCGACAGCTGAACCGAATGCCTTGTGGGTGCAAGTCTTGAGAGGGAAATAAGGCTAGCCTGATGACCATGAGGATAATTTCAAGAGGAAACCTTGCTCCTATATTTGGTCTGGGCGATGGATCTAAAAGGCCAGTCCTGGGAAGACATAGGGTGAGTTATTTGGGACCACTTAAAAACCTCAAAGTTAGAGTAAAAAACAAAGGTTAAATCTGAAAGTTTGATTTAAATAAGAATTTGAGCTTGAAAAATAAGAGATTTTTAGAGTAATCATGCTTCTAAATCTAACCTTGATAAATTCTAAAAAAAAAAAAATCAAATTGAGTAACCCTCAAAGCTTTGTTCTTTTTTTTTTTTAATACCTTGGGATGCACTGTTTAACAAATAAGAAAAAAAACTAAGCATTCAATTATTTCAAATTCTTTAACTCTCTTTATCTCTCAATTCAATTCTCTCTTTCACCTTTTTGTTTGCTTTAACTGTCTCACCTCTCCCTCTCACCTCATTGCTCACCCTCTAGCTCTCTCTATCTCTTGACTTGCCTTTCCCTCTCGTCTCTTGATTTAACGTCCCTCAACTTGATGTTTTTCTCTCAACATTCTATTGCTTTGGCTTTTACACTTACTCTTAGATAATTTCTCTTATGATATAGACCTTTTTTTAGGCTATAAATGTTTGAGATTTTAATTTCATGCTCCCTTTTAAAATTTCAATCTGATTTAAAAATTTTAATCTTTCATCTTATTCTATAAGAATTATATCGATATGACTCATTTATTATTTTTAAAATTTTTTTGTGAATTATAATGACATCAACTAATATATATTTAAAATTTTAAAATTTTTATTTATTTTCTAAATGATATAAGATTTTAATTTAATTTATGTTAAATTTTAAAGTTAAATTATAATATTGAAATAAATTATTTTTTAAAAGAATAATGTTAATTTTTTTTTAAAAAAACTGTGCTTCCCAACCTGACCCCCCGTTTTAGTGTGTATTTGGATAGGGGAAAAAAATCAATTCCCCCCCCCCCAAAATTAATTTTTTCAATAAATTAACCAAACGATCAGAAAAGGATGAAAATAAATTTTGACCTCATACGTGCATTTTCTCGTAAGTTACTTCGATCAGCTTCTTAATAAACATTTGTCAAAAATGTTGGGAAAAATTCTAAAAACAAGCCCAGGAAAAAATTACAAAAAAAAAAACATAATTTAATAAAAATAAAATTAAACTCTTTTCTTTTTTCTTTTTTTTCATAATAAAATTTAAACTTTGTATATTTAAAAAATTAATATTTAATATTTAAAAATTAAATTATATAGTAATTTATATAGCTAACAATTAATTTTGATTAAATTATTCAAATATCTTCAACTCTGTTAAAATTAATTTTAAAAAAACAATATCCAAACAAATTACATTATAACATAATTAATTATGATTAAAATTTATTACTTAATTAATTATTTTTATAACCTATTATACCCAACTGAAATTCAAACGGATCCTTGATAAAGATCAGATCTCAAAATTTGATTAAAATTTAAAAAATCAGACTCCAAAACCCAAACTTTCAAAGACCGGCCAGAAGGGTTAGCACCGCCCGTATTCCCCATTCGCACTCCAATCCCATCCCACAATTCATTACTTATGATGGGCTACGAAGTAGGAACCCCCTGGAGCACGTGCTTCCCCAACTATTGCGTAAAATTCCAAAGTAACTGATGGCCAGGGTTCTCGGTTTCATTTGCTTGAGGCTAAACACTGGCTGAATCGGAACTCTGTTAACAGGTAATTGAAGCAGCAAACCCGCAACAAACGAAATCTCCAGAACGAATCATCCACTACTCCCCAAGACATTCTTCATGCTGTGTTTATCTAATTTCATCACTCAATTCATGCTACAGATATCCTCATATCCCGCTCATTTTGTCTTAATGGGTGCATCTCTTTTTTGTAAAGCTACACCATTTGCATTCGTTTTCTAGTTAATTAACTTTAAAACCATGACTTACTAAATTTCGTTTCTTAATGAACAACAAGGTGTATTTCCCCCCTTGCTTGCATAACTAAAAGCAAATGCAAACAGTACGTCACAAGAAATATAATAATCCATAGAAAAGAAGAGATGGGTAATGAACAAAAACAATCAACAAGTGATTATCTGATTCAGGTAACACCTGTTTAAGAAATGAAGCCCACTATAACACTAGGCAGGGGTCAAATTCATCAAACTACATTTCATCAAGCAAAGAACAATAGAAAAGACTATTATTAATGTAACCGATAACAGGTATTGAGTAACAATTGTCAGTTCCAATCACTTCCTCCTTCTAGGCTTGTCATCAATTTCTTCTTCTTCTTCTTCGTCGTGATCGTCGTCAAAGTCCTTACCATCCACGCCATCAAAATCCTTATCATCATACATGTCATTAATCAAATCACCATAATGATCGGAATCATCCAGGTCATCGTAGTCTAACTCCTCCTCACTGTCGATCTGTTTTCGCGATGACGACGAGCCTCGACGAGCTTGAGCCCACAAGTATCCGCCGAGAGCAGAATCTTCCGTCTGAAGGCATTGACGGGTGCTGGGAAAGCCTCCTTCTCCGATGTGAAGCTTCTTGTTCGCTCCGAGGAAATCGGAGAGACGACAGGCAGGAGCAGGGAGTGGAAGCTCAGATATCTGGGTGAGAGGAAGACGAAGGGCTTCGTCAAGAATTTTTGATTGAGCAATAGGAGCAGAGAGATGGAAGGGCTTGCGAAGGAATTGGGAAGTGAGATTGGACTTGAACAGCAATCGTGTTGCCATTTTTGTTAGACTGTGGCCGAGAGGGTAGAACAGGGAAGGGCTTAAGAGACTGATGAAACCAATCAAAAAGGGTTAGGGTTTTGGGAATGAGGCGGCACGCAAACAACGTATTCCCACTCCATCCTCCAATAGGAAAGGGCAGGTTCTAGAGACTTCATAATCAATTGCCACGTGTAACAAAAGGTCGGTGTTTCTTTATTAACAAAAAAAAAAAACAATTACAATAATGAATAATCTCCATTAAGACATGAGCGTTAAAATAGAAATAAAATTTTTAAGTACTGCCTGCCAAATTTTTTTTAAAAAAAGTTATCCTTTTTTACATAGGTGACAGATTGGAAGTTTTTTTTTTATTTTTATTTTTAGCAAATGCCTCCAATGATGTTTAAACATCTATATTACATTTATTGTCGCCTAAAATTTGCACAACACTTTCATGCCAAGCCAGAAATGAAAAAAACTCTTTCTAGTCGTCTAAAAGATTGTTTTTTGGTTGTAAATCACCTAATTATATGTTCAATAAGAGTGCCCACGTTTTTGAATAAACACTTTAATTATTTCTTCTAAAAGTTGGAAAAAAAAATATCTCTTCTAAAAGCACATGAAAAGTTCACCAACGAACATTTCAGCTGTAACCCTACCTTGTGGGTAGTTGTTTTCAAATTCTTCTAATGCCTGTATTGTACATAACATTTCAATGTGATGAACTAGAACTTTATCCAACGTTGTCTGGTAAAGTGACAATCCATTCAATCATTGACTTTCTTCTATCATTTCTACGTAATGTGACTGCTAGATACTCAACAGTTCATTGTAAACTTTGAGATCAAGATGCTGATAGTTCTGTTAGAACTCTCAATCTTTGAACATAAATTATAACTGCAGTTTTTCTTGGAATATATTATCCAACAGATTTTAGTGAGCAAAAGTTCATTTGATCCAATTACAGCATTTGGAGCTTGATGCAGGGACGGATCTCCCAGAGTTTGATATAGTTTTTTGGGGGAGGGGATTTCAAATAACATAAAGTATGTCGGCAATAGAATTAATTTTATTTTTGCCAAAAAAATTTTCAACCAATTCTAAAGAAAATGGGAGCAGCCTTAAATCCGTCCCTGGCTTCATGTGATTAAATTGAATTTTAGAATCTCACAAGTCCTACAAAATTATACAAAATATTACTTGTTTTACGAAAATAAAAAGTTCATCACCTTATTGACAGTATAATATGTTCTGCACTTACACTTCTAATTTCTACTTCTATCAACAACTAAACTAATATAAACACCACACAATAAAATGTAAAAATGACTCACAAGCAATAATTTAGCTGTGTACTGAAAATAAAATTGCTCTATGTTTCACTATAAAGATGAGGTTGTAGATGAATTTCATTCAATTATCAATCAGGGGGCATCTTATTGATGGTTAATCCATATTAACATCACCCCAACTATGTAATTTTATTGTTTTTAACACATTAAATTGATTTTGATGTTATTATACTTCTTAGTTTTTCTATTTTTACATGCTTTTAATATCTTATCGCTGAACTTTATTATCACATCAACTCTATACAACAAACCTTACCTCATTAAATTAAGTTAGCTATATGAATTGTATGACATCATTGTGCTCTATCATTTACCAAGCTTTTAAGAATGTTATTAATTAAGAGATCTTGATCAACAACTACCATACATCAACTCTACATGTTTCAAAATATATTTTTCAGTAAATTGGCGTCAGAAAGGTATAGATACCCACCAAGAAAAGAGACACGGAAGAGAAAGAAGCAATTATATTAAACAAACGAATCGCGACCCTCCATCTCAGTTTGAAGTCTTGAACAGTCTACAAGTATAAACAAATTAGGAATGGTATTAACTATTTAGTCCTATTCTTGACTCTAAACTTTGCTCCCAAGTTCATTCTCATGCAAGATGAGGTATTTATGATTTCTTAAACAGGGCTAACACTATCTAAATGGCACTAATGTGTTTACCCAATCTTAAACAGATATAAATGAAGCCTCTGCAGTGAACAAAAATGTTCACAAGAGGGAATCAATTGTTCCCCCCCCCCCTTTTCTTTTAATTTTACTCCTAACCTAGTCCTCCTATAAGAAAGGGAGACTCAGGCATACACGCAGTCATACAAACATGTCATCAGTGTTGAGCTTGAACCAAGGATCTCTTCCAAACGAGAAAGGTAGCATTGTCACTAGGACAACTAACTGTTAATAACTGTTTTTGTTTCCAAGGTTTGCATAGGAAGACATGTCCTGGGAGGGAGTAGGTAAAGGGGACAAGGCTATAAAAATCATATCCAATACATCAAGCTCATCTCAATCTTCAAATTTGAAGCTGATGCCAGATAAGCCATCCACTTCGGCTCAATAGCGGAACTGCTCTAAACAATTTACCTAGATGGGTCTGAACTTTTGCCAATTAGGCCTCATATTCGCTTTTCACTTAATTATCTAGTAAACAAGCTGGTCAAATTATTTTATTAACAATTTAACACCCCCTCAAAGTCATAAGCTATGAGGCCCAGACACCGCAAAAAGAGCCATGTTTCTGTTCCACAAAACAAGACACACACTACATAACACTTCAAATTACTAGCAGGTATTAACACCTTAAAATTTGTCAAGGTACATTATTTGTGTTATTGTCAGTGTCCGTGCTACACTACTACTTAGCCCATGGCCATGAGTCATGCAGCTCACTATTGAACAAGTCTCATCCATGGTGAACCATTTATTCAAGCTAAACAAAAAATGGGGGCACAATAGATAGAACAATACACAGAAATCAATGGCTAAACGTACCTATTGACTAAGAACAAATATTGAAATATGCATTAAAAGGAAAATAGGATGAAAGATACTACGAAGCATCCAGCCAATTCTAATCATAAATTTTGGACAAAAATTATCTTAACATCAAGTTGAACGGTGCAAAATCATAGAGAGGAACCTGGTTCTAGACAAAAAGTTCGAAAAGAAAGAAACAAAAGGACAAGCAAATCAAACTTTCCATAATTTAAGTTACAGTTGAGCGTATTACCTAAGAGGCTAAGAGATATATATATTTCTCCTCCTCTTCAGTCTTCACCACCGTCAAATCCTCTTCCATGAATTCAATTCCTCCGCAATCTTCAACCCGCCCAATTCCATCAACACTATTATCAAATTCATCCGCATTATTTTCCCCGATAAGAACAGAGCAACACCACAGTCTATCTAACTCGGTTCAAACAGAGTCCACCAAGCAGTACTTTTTACCAACACATTTTGGGCAATCACCCGAAAGCTAAGAGCTACCACGCAATCTGTAAACTATGCGGCCTCTAGACGAATCATACCGACTAACTTCAACTTTGACTCTATCTCCCGGCAAAATTCGAACAAAATTCTTCCTGATTTTCCCAGAAATATAACCCAGAATCAAATCTTCGTTATCGAGACGTACACGGAACATGCCGTTGGGAAGTGACTCGGTGATCAAGCCTTCGTGCACCCATTTCGACTCATTGGATCGGTCAGCGGGAGGAGACTTGGCCTGCACGAGAAGAGTCTCTAGAGGCTTAGTCTCCAATAATGGATGAGATTTAAGGAAAAGGGGGCTGCGAGAATGGGAAGTGGAATTAGGTTGAAGTCTGAAAGACGAAGAAGAGGGTCTTCGAGAAGGAAGAAGATAGGTATGGAGAATTGGGGAGCGATATTGCAACAGCGATGAAGCTAACATCTCTGCGTGGGTGGGTGGGTGGGTTTCGGAGGAAAGATTGATACAAGAGCTTCTGTGCTAAGCTGAAGCCATAGGATAGAAGAACATACAATTTGCGGGGATAAGGTTTAACGGGCTAAATGAAATTTGGAAGAATCGAAAAATTGATGGCCCGTTTGGTTCATGAAATAATTGAAAATGTAATCGAATGTAATAGCTGAGAATGTAATGTAATGTCATAGGGGTTACAAAAATTTGTTTGATATGTTATTTAAAAATATGAAAATCAAACTTGATATTTATATTTTATTAAATTGAGATAAAAATAAAAAGACACAATTATCCTCATAAAAAAATATAATTCCATTCTCTTCTTCTATCCTCACCAATTACCATGGTCGGTCTTCTCCAACACGAGCCAAGCACCATAAAAATATCCCTTGTCTTTTTCTCCCATTGCAGTGCAAACACCCTTCAAAACTAAAAGAGAACAAAATAAAAAAATTGAAATATAAAATCAATTTTCAAACCAGATCTTTAATGCGTCAATAATGGGATTAACAGAGGCTGCACAAATTGAGGGAGATAGCATCAACTAGATAATAAAGAAGAAGAAGATTACATATGGTATCAAATAAGAGATTAAAGTTGGCGGTGTAGTAGTGCTTTGTTTGAATTTTGAAGTGGTTGCCATTAATTTTTGATGAGAACTTCAAACAAGTTATCGCAAGCTCAAATTCACAAGGAGAACGGAGAATGATGAAATAAAATAAGGTGGTGTTTGATGAGGATGTGGTGAGAAAGGGATGAGGAGGAAGATGACGAAGATAGATTTGGATAGATGACAATGGCTGCAACACAAGGTGGATTGACTTCGGTGTTCAGTGATGAAAGGGAGGGAAGATGAAGGAAGGGGTACTATGGTAAAAGCTTGATTTTTGGTACCATGAATGAGGATTGCATAAGTTCCCTGATGTAATCCAAATTACAATGTTTCAAATAATTTTAATTACATGATATAATCATCTTTACATTACCTTACACCAACCAAACAATATAAATGATAGAGCCAAACAACCTATTATTCTTGCCACGGAAATTAAAATTCCTCTTAATATGGATCACAAGAAAGATCGTTTGAATTGAGTATACATTAAAATAAAATTAAAAACTTCACCCCAAAAATAAAAAACTTAAATATAAAAACTTGTGGGCAAGATTGGTGTTTTCATAATCTTTTTTTATTTCCTGGTCAAAACGACCGGATTTCGTCTTTTGATAGAGTAATTAATTTTTTGTACAAAATAAAATATTTAATTATTCTCAAATTAACATCATTTTTCTATCATATGTATTTAAAAAATATATTAATTATATCTTAAAGCACTTAAAATGCTTTACATTTTTTAATATCTAACCTTAAAAACACCTTATATTTTTAAAATATAACCCAAAATTATAATAATATCATAATTTGAAATACTCCATACTCAAGAAAAATTTTTAAAATATTTTTGGATCTTAAATATAAAATAAAGATATGATAATTAATTTTTCTTTCAACATTATCCTCCTTAATTACAAGAAGTTATTGGTATGCTTTTAATTTCTATATTATAATTATTAATTTTAGTGAAAAACAAAATTAGAAAGTCACTTATTTTTCTTCAAGTTTAAGGTATCAACTATCAAACTAACCAAAATATCTTAAGAAAAAAACATTATGTAATTTTGTTAGTTTGAAAATATTATTCTGTGCATATTAAAAATTTAAAGAATATATTTTAGTTTATAGTTGGTATTTAGCTATACAAGTGGATTGATTGTTATTGATCGACTATGATTACCTAACACTGAATTTTATGTGACATGAATAGAATTTTGTTGCTTTTTAACTGATGTATTGGACTTGTCTAATTTTTAATCAACCCATTTATCAAAATTGAAATCATCAACATGATATAACTTATAAATAAATAACATGTGGAAAGTCCAAATAATTAGTTACTATAATTTTGCTTTTTTTTTTGGGGGGGGGAATCTTCCTCACAGACGACCCTGAATTTCATCATTATCATACATATATTTTACGTGAACCACTATTAAAACATCAACATGATATAGTCAACATAATTTTTAATCAACCCATTTATCAAAATTGAAATCATCAACATGATATAACTTATAAATAAATAACATGCGGAAAGTCCAAATAATTAGTTACTATAATTTTGCTTTTTTTTGGGGGGGGGAATCTTCCTCACAGACGACCCTGAATTTTATCATTATCATATATATATTTTACGTGAACCACTATTAAAACAAGGTCAAGTTTTCTATAGAACTTTTTAACAGACAAGGCTTGAATAGATAAGCCCCATTACCCTGTTAACCATTAGGTTTATTTATACAAGATTTTCATCAAACCAACCTCATAGCTACTACATATGACATTAGAAACAGCCAAGACCATTAACACAAACTGTACTTCAAACGCTGATTGCCTCTACTTCATTTTCCTTTTCTTTTGCTTCTTCTTCTGGTATAGTCGCCGTAGGCACTTTCTGATATCCTTCTTGTGACCTTCTAAGCCTACGAGGCAGAACACAAGAACCTCCATAACGTTGCTGCAACAAGATGATGACAGCAAACAGAAGACTTCCCAAAGGAATAACAATGTCCCAAGCAGTGGAGTAATAATCTGCGCTTGGATCAGCATAATAGTAGGACCCATAATCTTGTTCGTCATAGTTATTAGCCCTGTAAAGATCATAAGCATGAGGTAACATTCTCACAAAGCTAGTCCCAAAGTAGAACCAACGAGACAAAGCATTCTCCTTCATGTTTGAGAACAAATTGAACATGATCTGGGGCAACAGAAAACCATCCAGAACCAAACCTCCAAAGTGTTTCAAGCCTTCCCATGATGAATGTCTCTGAAATGATGATGCTGCAGTTCAATAATATGGTTAGAGATTATAATAAAACCATGAATGAACTAACAATTCACGGAATAGCAAGAAAATCATACCTTCATAGTTGTTTTTTGACTTTAGTGATAGAGCAATTAAGAACACTAATGCATATAAAGGAAAAAGGACACATGCAGTTTTCTTCTCAGCAACCTGGAGGTTCTTGTGGCTTTCTTCATCAACCTTTCTTGCAGACCAAGTTATCCACAGAAAACGAAGCAGCAGCAAGAAAACTACCATAGTTAACAGCCTCACAGTTGTTTCATTCACCTCAAGGTGAAGCCATCCAACATTTCCAAACACAAAGTTTTTATTGTTTGGGTCTTGAGAGAAGACAGCTTCAAAGTTCAGGACAAGAGGTACCATATGGCCCAATGTGAGAACTGAGACCATCGTAAGTGATATTAAGGGAAGCACATTGGGATGCCTTTTCACATAAATGAGTTGTGACACCAAAAAAGCACATGCAAGAATGGTAGATACGAGAACCATTATAATCTCCATGTCCATTCTCCAAGCAGTGTCTGCCCCTTGTGTATAAGAAGCATATGCAGTTAGGTTCAAGACTTTGAAGTAAAGAGGATCTGAACTTTTCCTTGTGCTTTCAATGCTTCCCTTGGTGTGACTTCTTCTACTTGTAGCATCAAATGGTGGGAATTCAAACTTAATTAGAATCTCACAATCTAGAGAATCTTCAGCTTTTGGAGTTCCACTATAGCTTGAGACCAGATTTCTGCAGCCGACCATACACAAGCTTCCTTTCTCAGCATCATAGGTTCCCTCAGCAGAAATCTTCGCTGACTTAGAGGACTTGTTGAACAGAGAATTATTGTCATCTAACATTGAATTAGTGTGCAAGGTCATGGTGAAGCTAACATTAAACAAGGTAGTATTGTCAATGTTTTCAAAATGATCCGAAATCGAGGTGGTTGTGTCAGAATCAAAACTTGAGAATGGATCCCTGTATATCTCATCACCAACAGCTAGTGGAGATGAATAACCCCATCCAATTCCCTTCTTGGATTCTTTAATAGATAAATCAGTTCTCATGTGATAAGAATAAGCATCTGGGTACCTGTTTGTTTGGTCCTTGACGTGATTGTGTCTTTTTGGACAAGATTTCTTGACTCTTTTTAACTGGGTATACTCATACTTCAAGCCTTGAAAGGCCACGTTAGAACCACCAAAACCGTCGTTGAAGTTCACCACATCTTTCTCTGATTTTTTACTCCAGATTTGCCCCACAATTCTGCTGGTGTTTTTGATTGACAAAACAGGGGGGAATTTGAGCCTTAATCTGATTGAGCAATCACCAACATGAGCCCCAGACAATGATGATGGAGAATCCGTCACTCCCATGACGTTGCAAGCAACAACACGTATTTGATTCTTCGTCTCATCCCACCATCCTTCTCCAACAAACATTGGTGTTTGTCGAGTGACGTTGACAGGTTCGTAACCATAATAATAGTCATCATAAGGAAATCGCACCAGAACTCGAAACCTGGGCTTGTCAACATGAGAAGAACATTCAATCTCATCCAAAGAAACCATATATCCACGGGATGATCCATTAACCCCACCAATGGTATTACAGTTTTTGGCAGGATTAAGATGGCAATCTAAAGGGTGCTCCAGATAAAGCCATCTAATTGCCCTGGAGACTTGACGTGAGCAAAAAGATGAGGAATCTAGTGGTAAACCGTCTTCAGCATCAGTCCAATCAGAAGCAAAATCATGCTCAACTTCTTTAGAATCCAAGCTATACTTGTAATTCTTCTTGGGAAGCATCAGAGCATAAATGGGTTCGAAGAAATGTTCTTGATCATCTGCAGAACTCAAGCTCACCAATCTTCCATGGATGAGACTGGTCACGTCACTCGAGCTGAACAGATTGCTCAGTTTGAATAAAACAGCATTAAGATGAAGAAAGTCACCATCTTGGGAATACCCTTTACCTTCCCCAATCATACAAAGCCTTCCAGAAGATTCTGACCAGAACCCATCAAGCTTGAAGACGACTTTGCCACTACCTCGACTGTAGTAAGACCCGAACCTGGAGCTTTCCCCGTAGTAATGACGATGACTGCTCATGAACGACAGAGAAGCTTCAATTTTGAAGATCCCAGAAGTCTCTGTCTCGTATACTTTCTTAGTTTGAAGAGAAAAGGTGCTTTGTTGCCAAGAAGAGCTAGCGGTGAGGATTTTATCACCTCCTTTGAAGTAACCTGTGTGAAGCTGAGGAAGAGGGAAAGAAGAGGGCTTGAACTTCACGGGAATGGATTCAGGGACAACAGAAGAACAGTGAGCTTTGTACGCAGAGTTTGTGGAAGCAGAAGAGAGGGAGTTGAAAGAGAAGAAAATGGAAAGGAAGATGAGAATGAAGAGAAGCGTATTCATGGCTTAAGAAAGAGGCAAAGAAAAGTGAAGAAGTGAAGGATGGTGCAGAAGCAGAAGAATGCAAAGCCATATATAGAAAGAGCGACCTCTCTACTGCATTATTATTGATGAGTCATGAGAATTAGTAATGCAATTTTTTTTTCTTATTTGCTTTTGGAATAACGACCAAAAAGTCTTCGGAGTGGCATTAGGTTTACAGAACAATGTCACAGGCCTACATGCCTATTTAAAATTGAATAATGGTAACATATACAATACACATACGATCACGTTTGTCTCACCCCCACAATCTCTTAGATTTATGTTTCTTCAACTCCTCATGAACACTCACTCAAATCCTTGCTACGGGTCACACGTATAAAGGGGGAAAAAAAGTGTTGGTTAATGATAACTAATTTGGGTAAAAAAGACATTATTCTCTTTAAATAAAACAATTCAAAAAAGATATCAATAAGAGAAGGACAAAATAAAAGACACTCGAAGAAAGCTATAGTATTATTCAATAATTTCAGTGAAAAATTGATTCCTTAAATTCTACTGATCAGAGCGATGATAAACAAATCTAAAATCTAAAATTTATTTTAAAAGAAGGCCCTATTATTTCAGTTATTTTTTGTGATCATACATGCAACTTTTTTTATTATTATTGTAATATTTTTTTCTGTGCATTTTATTAGCCCATTTTTCAATATATTTTATAAGCTGCAATCCATATATTTTAATAGGTTTTGGATGTTACAAAACTAATTTTTTTACAAAAGCAAATATTAGATTAGGATTGCTTTTTAGTGTTACTAATATTATATTAGTGTTTAATATTCATTTGTGAAAAAATACTTCACAGTTCACAGCTTAATTACTTCAAAGGCTAAAATGTAAATCTGTGAAAATCAAACACAATCCAATACATTTAATTGCTTTTAAGAAATTAAAGGTGTTTAATCTTCTTGATATAAATAAAAAAAATAAAGATGTTGGCGTGACTTTCATCCCAAAAAAACTAGGTGTAATTGTGACTGTGTGACAATTATAGTTGACTTTGAGTCAACTCTGGCAAAGACTTTGGCTGCTGGAGTCTATGAAGTCATCGTCATCCACAAGAGTGGTTTCCACGGCGTCTAATAGTTTTTCGCACCTTGTGCACCACTATTTCATTATTTAAATAATTAATTAATAAAAAAACATATCTTTATATCTTATACTTTACTTACATATTACTATTAATTTCTATATTTTTTTAATATTTTTAATCTTTATACTTTTATTTTTTATTATTTTATATCCTTTCAAGATCTCTATATTTTATTTATGAAATTATTTAACAGAATGAAAAATAAAAATAGAGGAATCAAAAACACTGAAAAAATAATACAGGGATTAATAGCAAAATATGAGTAAAGTATAGGAATCTAAAATTATATTTTTTCTTAATTAATTAAGGAACAATTTTAATAAAGGACCTTTACATTCAAAGCTCTTGAATTTTTGAAATTTCACTGCAATTCAGGAGTACTTATTCGATATTAAATTTTTTAAAGAAATGACAAAATTATCCATCTTTTAAACTAATATTAAAACTTTTTTACTTTATTGATTAATTGTCACTTCATTTGTTTATTTACTTATATAATGTTATTAAATGTTCTACTTAATTTGTTTTCATTTTATACATTTAAATAATCTTTTTACAATTTGTTGATTTCTATATTATATTTCATTCATTTACTTATGAATTATTATTAATTGCCCTACTCTATTTGTTCATTGCCAAAGTCCAGACTTTCATTTGATTTCATTTTAAAAAATAAATAAGTGAATTAGGATAATTAACAACATTTGATAAGTAAATGAATAAGTGTAGTGAGTTGTCTAGATATTAATTTAAATAAAAGATAATTTTATCATTTTTTTCATCAATTTGATATCAAATGGAGTGAAATTTTATAAATTTAGGCACTTTAAATATAATTAAATATGGTTAAGAAATCTTTATTAAAATTCTCCCATTAATTAATGTTTTAGCCTGACAAATTGAGATTGTTTAAGCTTTTTTTTTTAATGGAAATTTCGTGGATATAGCATCACTCAAATTTCAAACAACGTTGCGTTTGAACTTTATCGATAATTTCCAGACAACTTTAACGTAACTTTAGGGGCGTCATTAACTGCCATAGACCGGGAGTCTTTGACAAAGTCTTAACCATTAGAGAAGGTAAAATTAAATTTTTTAAAAAATATTTAAATTGAAATTGGATATATTTTAAGTTGAAAATATAAAATTGAACTTGTTCTAAAATATTTTGCAATATTCTAATATGCAACTTTTTTTTGTTCATAAGCTCATTCAAAATAATTTTCAATTTGAATTATTTTAGTATAAATGTTTTATATTATTATTTAGGATTAAATTTTCTCTTATCCTTTCAAATTTAATTAATTTTGAATCTTTTCTTGACATGATTAGGAATGAAGAGAAGTGTTTTGAAAAGGTTTTGAAAAAAATGTTGGTGTTGCGTGTGTTAAAGTTATACTTCCTTATAAGGATTGGTGTCCATCAAACATCGTGATTCAACCTTTTTTTTTTTTTAATTTGGCTTTAACTGTTCTAACTCAACACATCCCACATTTTTTTTTTTTTTTTTTAACAGACGATATAGTTCTCATGACAAAATCAATAGAAGAAATTAATTTTTCACTTAAATTATGGAAAAGTTCTTTGGAATTGAAGGATTTTCACCTCAGCAGGGCAAGGATAAAATGTATGCACTACAAGTTTAGTAAGACGCAAGTTATTAATGATCTAAAGGTGAAAATTAAAGATCAGATCATGCCACAAAAAACGAAATCCAGGTATTTGGACTGATTATATTAAATGATAGATGAAATTGATAGGAATGTTGCATATATAAAATATAAGTTGGGTGGTTAAAATATAAAAAGACATGAGATATTACAACTTCTAATAAATATTATTACTGCATTTATTGATTGTGAATAATGATGTTGTATGTTTAATATTTTATAATTAGAATATTGATATGATTTTATTTTGCTTTGATGCCGAGGAAAACAATCACATAAGATCCTCCTATTTTTTTGCCCTTAATTTTTTTTATAAGGAAAAAAAAAGCAAAGGAAATAAACAATACTATAAAAAGGGAAGGTGCTGCTTGCCATGATTTTTTTAATTCCTGAATGAATTTATACTTTTTCATAATATAGGATATCTAGTGATTTTCAAAAAATAATTTAAAGATAAATATACTCCTTAACCCTATAATAAATATCAGATAGAAGATATCACCTATATGAGGGAATGGAGTTCCCATTTTGTTGAGGCTCATCCTTCTTACAGTATAACACATACAAGTTCCTGAATTTTGTTTATAATATTCAATACATAGAAGGCTATTTTTTATAATATGAGGTGAACTAGTAAACTTGTTAAATAACAAAATCCTCTTCATAACTCGCAAGATCATAAGTTTCAACGAACAAAGAACACTGGTTTCTTCATTTCCACAAAGATTACTAGATCCTTCCTACATTCTCTCCCTGACCTTGAGGCTGAGTCTTGAGTCTAAACCCTAATCATGCCAGCTGAGATTAATGCAAATAATGCTAACTCTGCTGTTCTTCACTGGTGGCAAATATGCAAATGTCAGACCAAATATTTATAATCATGCCCATTTTACCTATAGGCTTCCGTTCAATCATTTGTTTCTTCTTAAAACATTCTTGCAAATATCAGCAAGAGAATAATATGGCCGAAACCTTTAGACCAAAAATAAAAATGGCCAAAAAAAAAAAAACATATATGATAAGAGCAGGAACCTTAAGCCCCGAGTCATACACTATACTAGCATCATCTGCAACTATATACAGTGTCCAAAATTATGTGCAGGCATTTTTCCAATGTGACCATGAGATAGACCATAAAAAGATTTTAGCTATTTTTTATATATAAAACAGGGAACTACTAGGTATAACTTGAATATGCCTCCTCTATATATATATATATATATATCAAGTCTCAAAATTGGGCTTAATCAGGGGAGAGTTCAGGTAGCAGGAACAGCAGCATCAGGGTTACAACCTGCCGGCATGTTCCCGGTTGTTGCTGGCTCTGGCAAGAATTTCTCACAGTCCTTCGCTCCAACCTTGGAAAACTCTCCGACAAGCCTATTCACAAATCCAGCTAAAGTATCCTTAAACTGTTTCGAGCAGCTCCTGTCACCAGCGTCAACATCCTGCACGCCACCATTGACCAAGCAGCCAACTTGAGCACCGTCCATGTACGCCTTACACGCCACCAAGATATCATGAGCTCGGCTGCAGAAATGCCCTGCAACGAAGTCCTCAAAATGCTACGGCCCAAAAAGGCCCATAACAGTCAGATTTTGAACCACCAAAAAAGGAAGAGACACTAAGAAGTTTGTGGTTATAATGAAGAAAAGCCTTGCATATCCTAGCACTTGACACATTCTTCAATCATGATTTCAAGGATCTTTGTAATCTTCAACCAATTCTTTGTTCATAACTAAATAAATTACATAATGACGTCATGCCCTCTTGATGCATGCTATTGCAAGATAATTATAGAAATCTATAACTAGATTTATGAGTGACAACACAAAAATGCTGAATTATGGCAGACTGATAAAGACCCGGTAGTATGAGATACTAAGTCACACTTTGAGTAGTATGTGATGCTCGATTAAGTATTTAAATAGGTTGATTTTCCCACCTCAACAATTATCTTGTGGGATATGATTTCCCATTCTAGTTAGATATCTATCAATTCATCAATTGGTATTAAAGCCATGTTGGTGATTCTAGTAAGGGTTACCTACAAAGGATTCTGACCGGCAAGAGATCAAGTTAAGTTTCATGGAACTGTCAGGACATCAGCTTTCCATAAGGGGTCACTTGATGAAGACTTAGTATGATGGGATACCAAGTCCTGTGTTGAATAGCATGAAATGTTCAATTAAGTATTCAAGTAGGTTGATTCTCCCACCGTAATAGCTAACTTTTAGGACAAGATTCCCCATCCTATTTAGGCAGACACTTAACCATTCTTTGAAGGGGAGGTTAAAAAAAAAAAAAAAGATAGAACTTGTGATATCAAGAAACTGTGATGATGTACATAAATGCATGCTAACGATACAAGGACACACTCAGAGAGTTATGTCTGTGTCTGAAACGTACCTGATACTCATAATGGATACAATGCAATACTTTTAAAAACTTGTTACCACTTCAAATTTTGTCAAGTCACCCATCCCTATCAGTATTCATGTTTCCTAGGATGCTTATGTGAATGGACTAATACATGTTAACTATGTATAATTGACTGAAAGGACTGAAATCAAACCCACAAGCATTGTTTTTATCACATCTTTTGTTCCAACTTCTAAAATAATCCAATTTAGCCCCCGAAGTTTCTAAATGTACTGTATTTTTTCATCCCATTCCTCTCTTTTTATGCCAGAAGGCACAAGAAAGGCATCCCTAGGTGATGCTATAAGTGCAGATTGCTTCTAGAATCTATACAACATACATATCAAATACATAATCATAATAGATGTCTCCCTGGATTTTTTCTTTGATCCTGCCCATTCATTTGCAATTTAAAAGTCATTATTTTAACCCATATCACATAAGTCTATGTATATATATTATATATGTATGAATATGCATAAAACTTGATCAAGGTTTAAAAATGAAACATGATATAGTTACTAGAACCACACCTTCGGTGGCTTTCTCATCACGTACATCATTGTCTTCAATGATAGAATAAATGTATCCTCATTATACTGCAGGGACCTTGTTTCGCCAGCGGGAGAACCACTCATATGAGCAAATCCAGGCTCATTAAAGTAAGGCTTTGTATTCAAGATTAAACCTTGTATAGAAACAAGAACCTGTAGAATTGTTGAAACACCAGGAAGCCACTTCTCATTCTTATTGCCAGACCAAGTATTAAGTAGACTAAGGCATACTTTGCCACAGTTATACAAATTTGGGTTGATCCTAACACCACCAGAGTGGTAGTGGACTTCCTGCCATGAAATTTTCCATAAGTCAGACTTGCACTTTAAGGCAGAAAACATGAAACTGATGTCAATAAGATATAGTAGTGAAACCTAAACTCATTACCGGGGGCACATTAGGATAGCCACTGGGAAAGAAAACATCAAAAAAGAAGAGACCATCATGATAAGGAGTTCCCTCTGCTCCAATAATAACAGCTCTCAAAAGATCCATCCTTGATTCATAAACTCTAACAAATATTGAATCTGACAAAATCAATGAGGAGACAAAGAAACAGTGAGAGAACTCAAAAAGAATATAGCAAAAGGTTGCACAGTATGTAATCCATAACATGCTGTTACAGCTATTTTTAATACTATTTCAAATCCCTAGTATTTCAATTACAATATTGACATGACATTATTTCAAATGCATACATTCACCAAAATAATGATATATGCCAAGTGGCTTATGGATCTAAAAGGCTCTCCCTTCAATCTCAACAACAAAGATGGAAACCAGAGACATACAAATATTTGAGGATCACCAGCTTAAAAAGAAAACTAAAAACAAAAGATATGCAATTAGGAAAATATCACTTCCATTTTGTAACTATTAGTAACACTTAAAATACACTCACCAGGCAAATCCTTCTCCAGAATCCTCCACTCTTCCTGAATTCTCTTTGACCAATTCTTTGAATGCTGCCAGAAAAATAGCTGTATGAAAAACCAAAATATTTAGATCAGAACTGAAAGAGACTGTTCCCTGAAAACTAAACTACCTGCTTCAAGGAATAACTCTTGCGATTATAGTAATGGTCTGAAGTGTCTTCAACTGTGTCAAACTGTTTAAAATGTTGGAATTTCCTCAAGATTCCATCCCTATCTTCATCAGATATTGTAACAACCGGGATGTCAGCAGTGGATTCATTCTGCTCATCACTGGCATAATTGTGGAACCAAGTGCTACCAAACATTGGCGGGAGAGGGGCATCAAGAGGATCATATGGATAATAAAAACCTAAATTATCTGAATGATTTGAAAGAGGCGGGTTAGGAGGATTCTTCCACACGTTAGAGTTTGCTGGTTCTAATCCAGGAAAATGGTATGACCCTTCAAAAGGTTGAAAGGCATTTGAATGGAACAAAACATCTTTACCATGTGCCTTTTTTGCACTTTTAGCTTTCCCCCAATAAGGAGGTTCACTTCCAGATGACAGCTTCAAGGACTCTGACTTGTGTGCTAAAACATCATGAGGAAATTCACCTAAAGAAAGCTTCTTCTTACGACTGAAAGGTCCCTTGAACCAATGAGGTTTGGATGATTCTACCCCTAGTGCTAGATTCAAGTTCAGCTTAAGCTCATCAAGTTGTGAAAAAGTTGATTGCTTTTTACCCGTTGATTGCTTTTTACCAGGAGCAACTTCAGTAAATAACTGAGAAGACAACTTTTGAGGAGGATTAACAGCAACATTTTGGGTTAGTGAACTAGAACTACATACTGGACTTTCTTGGATGAGATCAGAAGATTCTATTGCCCAGGAAAGCTGAGATAAGTCTGTCACATGAGAATTTTTAGCGTCTAACTGCATATTGCCCCAAGGATTCAAGAACTACTTTCAGATTTCTTCAGATCTAGATCAAAATTTGACATCCAAGGAATGGGTGCCTCAATTCCAGCAGGTATATCCACATTGTCAAAGTGTGCTTGTAACATTGCATACTCATCAACATCCATGAATTCTTCTGCAAAATGATCGTTGTAGTCATCTTCATCATTTGATAGATCAGAATTGTGACCATCAACATTGATTACGTTATGTGATACTGATGCATAACCACTGGAGGACTCAAGCCCACTAGCTTGTCCGAATTGTTCCAAAGTAGGGGGGGAATAAATATCATCGGACATTTCCTGAAAAGGAAACCAAGCATAATGTTAAATCATGTTTCATTTTAGTAAAGCTAAATTATCAGCACAGCAATTATGAATGGCTTCAATTACCTTTCCCTTGTTGCTTCCACCAACTTTTTCACCAATAAACACTAAATCAGCAGAGTCCTCATCATTGTCAATGTCAATCACATCACCAATAATAGCCTAGAAAAATCAAAGACAATATTAAATATTTGAGAGTCAGAGATATCTGAGAAAGAAGAGACAGACTCATAGAGACATCCAGGGAATCTTACACAAACAAGGCAGCAAGAAAATAGATCCAATGAGGCAATACAGAACACATTGTACTTATGCAACTTATAAGGTAAAAAATTGAGAAATAGAATTATGTAATTAATCAGACACTATAGCCTTCTATGGGCAAGTTTTCAATAATCGAAAACTGTTCTGTGCTGTTTAGAACTATATATCAAATGATAATCTTCAATATCATATTGTACAGAAGAATACAGTGGAATATAGTAACTCCACTATTTTGCATTAGATCCTGTTCCTCACAAAACCAGAAAACATCAACTATGTCAAGAAATAATTCATTTCAGACGTTTAAGTCATTGAAGAGAAGGAAAGTGAATGGTTATTAGGATTATTAATTTATCTCTATCACAACCACCCCAATGCCAAAGTCCTTCAGACTTGAAGATCAAATTATAAATATTAGGAGAAGCAACCATCTAAAGGCAGAATGTCGCGCTAATTTTCATGGTATAATAACTCTTCAAAAACTCTTTCTAAGAGAAATTGTTTTCCTTGTTTATTTAATAAAGAAAAAATTTTATTGATATAGAAGAAAAGCATGAATATCTTGGAATTGAATAATGAACGGAGAAGGAATTTGAGCTATCAAAATAACAAGGTCACTGATCATGACCAAATAAAATTTGTAAGGAGAACCCCTTAAGCATGTAATCACAAAAAAGTTAATAGACACTCCTACATTAAACTTAAAGGGACAAATAAATTCCCATGAAGATTCTAGAAACCAACACACAACTTCAGCCCCAACACCACTACACTGCTATATAGCATCATTCCTCAAGTTTTACATTCCCCTTTAAATAGAGGAATCCATACAACAAAAACTTGTCCAAGGTCTATAAGGCACATATTCCCAGCATTGGAACAATGCAGGAAGAAAGAAACAACGATACAAGAAGGAAACTTTGAATCAAGCGTGGATTATAGAGACAAAGCTTATATGTCCTCAACATCAATAACAAATCATGCGTTAATCTTATCAAGCAGGGCAGTCTAGAAAGTTTATTTCAAAAGAAAATGTATTCACATAGACATATAGCCTACCAAATATAATTTTTACCGATGGATCAGATTGTGAGCAAAACCTTCAAAAACAATATAATCATAGGTACAGTGACATCTAAAATGAAATCCTGACTGCTCATCTTAAGATTCATTACAACGCAGCAGATAGACTCCAAGATTACAGCAGGAGTCCTTAAACATCAACCACTTCAGGGGGAAATAGTGCCATCCTTATTCAAGACTTGAAACAAACTACCCTGATCAATATACAAGCCGAACAAAACTGGACACTTTCAACAAATACCCAGAACTTCCAGTTCCAATAGTACGATCAAGCATTCTCGCCTCACTTATTCAACTCATTACAAGCCGTCCCTGGCAATGATAGATTACCCGAAGTTCACAACTAGTGCCCATAAAATAAAGCGAGAAATTTTGGGGACCATGACTATGAATTCAAAGCAACGATGAAACACGGGTCAACCCAAAACATTGGCAATCGACACAAATTCTGAACACCCGTAAAAGAAAGATAAGATATTTGCACAATTTTCAGACCCGTGAAGCAAAAACATTAGAAATTCCACAGAAAACAAGTGCTTCACAGACCGTTTCTACCTTCTGTTTCAGAAGCTTTGAAGGCCGATGAATTGGGGGAGGAATCTCTACAACGTCAGGGTCCATCAAATGAGAATTGCTACCTGAATAAACAGTCCTCCTGTTCACAGCGAAAAGAAAACACGAAAGATTCTGCGAAAGTGTGAGGAGAGAGTGTTCATGCGGGTTTCATGGGACGAAAAAACAACAATCATAACAATAACAATAATAGAGAGAGAGAAAAAGACTTGGAATTCCGAAACGAATAGGGGGGCAGCGGCGGCAGCTCGATTGATCGGCTCATTATAGAGCTCAAAACGAAATGTTTATCGCGAAAAGAATCAATCCCCACTATCAGCGACTTAGCCACTGAAATTTCAAAGAAAATCGGTTTGATCTCATGCGCAAAAAAAATTCTTTTCGGGCAAGAAAAGAAAGAAAAAGACCCGACGACACCAGCAGTAAGAATAGCATAGGAAGAGCAAAAGACAGCCTTTTGTGGCTTCGCGCCTTCGCCTAATGAAGAAGCTGTGGCAACATAGATGGTGCTGAAACAGTATTATCATTTTCGAAACAAGACACGACATTTCAATTATTTTCGTCCGTGCCCCTGCGTCGCGATCAATTGCGCCCGATACTTTTCCGGTTAGTTTTGTTTCCAACTCAATTTGTTTTATAATTTATATTTATTATTTTGTGATTCACCAAAATAAGGTTTTGCATAAAATCGGAAGTAAGTGGAATTTATAATTATAACAATGTATTTTTTTTATATAAATTTTAGTTCTTTTTAACAAACTCTAGATTAGGTAACTCTCTCCAAATTTTTTTTTTATCAGCCTTATATCTCGAGATCTCTTATTTTTTTTGTTGGAGTCAGATCTCGAGATCTTATATTTAATCTATCATGAATCATAATTCATTTCATTAGAATTACCATCATAATGAGAGTTGGTTTCATGCACTTAAATGAAACCTACATGAGTTACATGAATATGGATTTATCACTTGTGAATATTATAACCTCTTACAATTGTTATCAATTACTTAATAATTAATAATTAATTAATACTTGATAATTAATGATAATGATAATTTGGATTCACTTGCTTGGATTGGTAGATCAGTAAATGATTACAAAATAAATATGTAGATTTTTTATTTAAAAAAAACAAAGGTAAAAATTCACATAATTAAAGTGCACATTTAATTTTTTAATTTTATACAAAATTTTATTTTATTTTTTTAATTTTATAAAATATTTTTAATCACAATATTATTAATTTAACCACACACAAAATTCTTACATTTAACTTTTAAATATTAACAAAATATTTTTAAGTATTAACACATTAAATTTATTTTGCTTAAAATAATAATAATTGAGATAAAAATAATCATTTAAAACTAACAGCATTAAGATTAAAAAAGTAAAAACTGAAATAATATTTTATAAAATTAAAAAATTAAAATTTATATATATATATATATATATATGTATGTATGTATGTATATATGTATATATGTAGACGCACCATTTTCCTCTACTATTTTCTTTTACTTTTTACTTTTTCTTCCTCCTACCTTGCCAGCACAACATAAAGGTGTGCTCTTGCTTAGAACCTATGATACACTGACACAAAAACAATACGTGAATATACATATATGAAAATATTTTCATTTAAAAAAAATGTATGATTCATCCATATTTTCGTTTTAAAAAAACGTAGGATATGGTACGTCTTATTATAAGTGCATATATGAACACACATATTTATAAATAATTCATGAAACCCACTATATTAGTTTTTCCATACCATAGAAAATTTTAAAATAAAATTTAAAAATATACAAACTTATTTAAATACTTATAAGTAAATATTTAAACATAATAGAAAATAAATAAAATATTTATGTTTTTAGGATCATAATGAACCTTTTTTAAAAAAATTAATATTTGATATAAAATTAAATCATAAAAAGATATTATAAATCAAAGGAATAATATTTCTATCGGTAACAAAATTTAGTTTCTTAAAAAATGTCTTGAAGTAATGATTTTAAAATATCGACTAGCAATATAAAATCATTAAATATGTACCAAAAATTTAAAAAAAATTATTTAAAAAATAATATTTTATTACTTTACATATGCATATCAAAAAGTATTGACACATATCGTATTATATACAATAATAGCATGGATACGTTAAGTAATTCGAACTATCGGTATTTTGATAAAAAAAACATGCCTAAAATATGGCAGTTTATTTAATCTTTTTAATTAAAAAAATACTCATTCTTTGATAAAGAATTTAAAAAAATTATTATATTTATTTAAACTTTTTAAAACAGCTAGAATCTAAAAAATACAAAGATATAAAAAAATTTTGACATTTAAAAACAAGGATGTATAAAGATATCACGAAATCTAAAAACTTACTAATAAATCACTAAAAAAAAAAACAAATACAAGTAAATCACTTCTCCTTTTTTGTTTCCCAGTGCATCCTCACAGTCGGCATACCCTGGGAAATATGTCTTTAACATTAAAAATTAGTGTATTTGTTAAAAGGAACAAAGTCCTCAAAAATATAATGTTAAACAAGCATTATAAAATACTATCAAAATTCAAGAATGTTAAAGATTTTATCATGTGAAATTGGACCATTACTTTATATCATACTTTCAAATAGCTGAATAAATAGGCTAACTAGCTAAATAATCAAGCTCATTATATGAATGCTATTTTTAAACTCTTGTTTTTTAATACAATTTTTAAACTCTTTTAACACCACCGACACCAAAGTGTACAAATCCTCTTCTAGCTTATTTGTCCTCGTCTTTTTAATTCTCATTTGGCCTTGTATTCCAAAAAACATACAAATAATCCCATGTTTGGTTGGATGGGAATGGATGAGATGGAAATTGATGCAAAATTTTAACGAATTCAGTTTTAAAAAATTTGAAGAAGTGAAGTTGAAAAATTTTAATTAATTTTTTACTCATTTCTCATACGTCTTCCCTATATTAAAATTTTATAATCTCACTTGTCCATTTTTTAAAAATCAAATTTATTAAAAAAATTTCTCGCCCCACTGCCCGAACCAAACAGAGGATTAGTATTTGCTTTAAATGTGCATCCTCTACAATTGGACCCATAATGTGAGGGTCTCTCTCTTTGCTTTTTTTTTTTTTTTTTTTTCCTATAAAGTGTTATGTATGTGAGAGGATATCACACAAGGAGCAAACATTCAAAATGATTGGTTTTTAGTATACTTTTATAAACAGACATGAATTTATTTTTATTTATTTTAATTTTCCTCTATGACTTTGAGGGGCGAAGAATTCGAGATAATCCTATTTTCCTTTACCAGCAAACTGCTAAATTTTTTTAGATCTCTCTTCCTTTTTTTAAATACCGTAATACCTTTTTCTTAGAGGTTTTAGTTTAGCATGTTTTTCAGTCATTCTGATAATTTCTTTTGGTACATATTAATCGATAAACTTTTCAATTAAAAAATTATGATATGTTTGGTAATCAAGATGAAGAGATAATCAATTTTAAAATTCTTGGTATAGTATGATTATAATTAGAATAAATTGGTTGATCTGTATAGAGTTTAAAATGAATTACAGTATTTATGAGTTTTTACAAATTTTTATAGACATACTGAAATACTAATTACTATTTATTTTTTTGGAATTATTTTTTTATTACGATTCATTGCATCCATTGCATTAAATGAATTGGCAATCTAATTCAACTTAGTCGGCTCGTCGGGAAATGAATGGGACAAAAATGGGGCCTATCCTATATTTTTATGAACAAATTTTCAAAAGTCAAATTAACAAGGAAAGTTCTGGTAAAAAAATTAACGAGGAAAACAAGCGGGGGGCAAAAAATAATAAACAGAGAGAGAAAGCAAGAATTTTAAAGCAATAGATTAATTCAATTTGGACATAGATCATTTATGCTTGATTAGTCTTTGAAGAGGGAAAAACGAAACAACACCTGCATTAAAACATTTATTTAATTTAACCTGAGTGCTTTTCTTGGCCAAAAAAAAAAGAGCTATCTCAGGCCATTATTTTGATGGCATGTAATGTGAAGTTGGAAAAAGTTTTCTGGACCTCAACGTTGGAAAGAGTTGGTACAGGTATTTATGAGTATTTTCATCTTTGTATTGCCTCTAATCTTACTCATAAATCATTTCTACCTTGTTTTATCAGAATTAAAAAAATTTAAATCTCATTAACTCTTTTGATGCTCTAAATCTTATTAACTCTATCTTAAAATTTAATAAGTTGTTGCCATCTCCCCTAATAAAGACAAATAGCATTTATAGGGCTCTTCATTAGTATTTTTTATGTTCATTTTTATCTTTATGTCCTTAAAAATAGGATCAAAATTAACATTATCTCTCTCCTTTACAAATAAGAATAAAGGAGTGTATAGCAATCATTTTTTAGCTATTTTAATACATACATACAAGTATTGCCTGTTCTAATACATTGCAGTGATACAAATAAAAGGTTGGGAGTTTGAATCTTAATCCTTATATATATAGAAACTTAATTACAAGAGATCTATCATTCACCTTCAATATCTTGAAAAGATAATTTCTGCTCCCGGCGATGAAGATTATACGGAAAAGAACACTATTAATCTGGCACTTGTTATTGGGGGTTGCTTCAAAGATTGGACTACCAAACTCTGTTATTCTACGTTGACGTGGAAGGAGAATGAACAGTTAACGTGGTGGAGCTTCTCTCTGCATGAGTTACATGAAGAGATTGTTTTGGTTCTAACATTAATTTCTCTGTTTTTCACATTTAGTATTTTTTAAACTACTCGTATTGATTGATTGGTTGCTCGCATTAATAACTTTTAATGTAAATCACAGAAAATAGGAGCACTTTGTATAAATCAATACACATTTGTTGCAAATAATAATCTAACTTAACTCCTTTTTCAAAAAAAAAAATTATACTGTTTCCGGTCCTTTATATAAAACAAATTTAACCAATTTCATATTCATAGTTATTAAGACATGATAATTATATTCTTAAAATTGTTAAAAATTGCATAATTTTTCAATTTTACTCTCATTTGCAATTATAAACTATAATACACTAATGTTTAAGAATTCAAATCTTAATAAATAAACAAAGTGTAATAATGAAAAAATGATTACTCTAAATTTTATCTTATATTAAAGACCTAAAAATTGTTAAAAGTTACATTAAAAACTGAGAAGAGCATGCTGAAAAGTGACAGTTGAAAGTAATCAAGTTGGGCGTGATACGAATGAAGAGATCGTAGTCCAGAGCAGGGAAGCATGGCCTCGTTGCGAGGAGCTTCTCTCCCACATGCACAAGAGGCAGAATCCTAAGCTGATCCTGCTTTGATTGCTGTCTTGTTTTTTTAGCTTTTTTTATCAATAAATAAACAAATGACCCACATCATAAGATACGGCGTTTTGATCTTCAATGGCAAATTGAATAAAACTCCATACATAATGACGTTTAAAAAAAAAAAAAAACCCTTCAAATGTATTGTTATAAAAATATGAAAAATTTGATTTAGATTCCCACATAAATTTGGGCAAAAGAATGAGCCTTCATGTTGCAGCCACATTTAAGCCTACTAGAGCAAGTTCCAAGTTGCCATCGTCTGGTTTTTACCAAAAGCTGTAGCATTCAAACCTCATATCAAATCAGGACACTAGTCTGCAAATTTGAACACCAACAGGAATTCGATATGAGCAAATAAATTCTTAACCAGAACATCATGGATACACATATTGCATTCCTAATAGATTACGTGACCCAATCAAATTTATCGATCCAGGGTTAAGGTGCGCGCGCGTGATCAGCTTGCAGTGCGGTTTACATGACAGCTTATGTAGCCGTTGGATCAAAAACATAATTTATGGCCGTTGGATCCCCACTGTGTAGGCTCTGCACAACACCTCCTGTGTGCAGGGAATCCAAAAGCAGAAGTGTTCAGAAATTGTGTGTGTGTGTGTGGATTTGGATTGGGATAGCAGATTGGATTTGGAGTCTGGAAATTATCTGGCCTGCTGGATAGGCCACAAATGGGAAAGAGGTTTTCCTTTCTGACATTCCATGACACAATCAAGTACTATATCTTGCAACTGTTTCTCCACATCTTCTATGGATTGGCCAGCATCCACAACCTGCGTCAAGCAAGTGGAGAAATTGAGAAGAAAGAAAAACAAGAAACAGAAGGTTCAGTATGCAGATCAAACACTTGCACTGAGAACCCCACTGCACCCAAAAAAAGAAACTTACAAGTTACAAGCATTAATCGCAACAATTCCTTGAGTAATTATTATGTTGTTTTTGTTTCTGACAACTACTTGGTATCTAATACTACCAACTAACAAGAATGCAAGTGATATACAATACACAAAGTCTAAAGTGAGCCACACTAGTCATGACTCACGGTTGGCTTCTGATGAGGCCACCCGTAAGTTGGGCCAAGTGTAAGAGAGGAAGAAAACTAAACCCAAGAAGACAGCCCAACGGAGACTGGCCCAGATGTAGGTGACCAGAGTTAGTTTTCTAGGGTTGTGTGTCGTCAGAGAAGGCAGATTGGAAGTATGTAGTCTTAGGAGAGCCTCTGACATCTTTAGTTGCTGTTTCTTTCATTTCCAGTGCTGGAGCTAGGATTGATAAGTCATTTTATTGTCTTTTACCTCTTCCACATGAAGAGGGCTGTATTGATTATTCCTGTTTTAGTGGAATATCACTGTTGTGTTCCCATCAGCTTCTTATAAATTTTATATTATATATAGATATATAGATCCATATTTAAGAATTATTGGATTCTAAATGAACACAAACTCTTACAACAAGCTCCCTCCAGTCTTATTTATAAGATAGAATTTTTTTTTATTCTATTTATAAGTCATATCATTATGTTTTTTATCACAAGTTTCTTCATTTACCTTCCATTAAATGTTGATAAGAGACAATATGTTATTAACATATGTATATTTAATATGGACAAAATTAAAAACTTACTAAATTTTAGGAAAAATTAGTCATTTGGTCTTCAACTTTTAACTTGGTTATGACTCAATTTTTTACGTTTAACTTGTCATGACTCTGTCCTTGAAATTTGGTCTGATTAAAAATTGCACCCCTGCCATTAATAAATGGTGGTGATAGTGTAAAATATTGCATTCGTGTCACCCATATCAACACCCCCCATCATATTTATGTGGCAATAAATTGAAAAATTATGTAAGAAAAAGGGGGAAATTTTCCAAAATTAATTAGGGGAGTGCCACTGGATGAAGCATAACCAAATGCAAAAAGATCAAACTTGGCAGTGATCAATTTCCCGTTCCGCCCTCTTTTCTCATCAAATCAAACCTCTCATTCTCACTTGTTAATTACTCTCTCCCCCCAACCCAAGCACTGCCATGGAACATTCCTCACATCCATCTTCGTGCCTTCTCATTCTCATCCTACTCATTTTTCTGTTTCCCTCCCTCCCATCTCTCCGATCCTCGAATCTCCCAAACTGGCCACTTCTGTGGCACCTCCGATCCACAGCTCCTCTCTCTTCCCATTACATCCCCATCTTCGTCCAGAAATGCAGCCTCTCTCCCAAACCATCACCACCTAGAACTAGGCTTCTCACTCTCAACATCTCCTCCCTCCCCATCTTTGATTTTGCTCAGTGCTTCCACAACCTTTCCCACACTCATTGCCTCCTCTGCTTCTGCAACGTCATTTCTTTCTTTCATTTTTTTAATGCTATGCCACATAAATCTGATGGGGTGCTTGCATAGATGCCATGTAAGCAATATCTGACAGAGTCATCACCACTTACTAATGGCAAGGATCTAATTTTTAAACAGGCCAAACTTCAGGACTGAGTTGCAACAAGTTAAACTTGGAAGAACTGAATCATAACCAAGTTAAAAGTTGAAGGAATGAATGACTAATTTTCCCTAAATTTTCAGACAAAATTAATAAATTTTAAGGTTTTCTTAAATTCTAATGAAATATGTTAAAATGACTTATAAATAGGACTAAAAGAAGTAACATATGACTCAAAACCAAGACATGTGAAATTCTTTCCACACAATCAAAATGGCATCGGTATTGTCATTATGTCTTGTAAGTGGATATTTATTCAAACCTTGTAGACTCTTTCAAGAGAGTTCTTCCACCTGTCAAAATTACTTTTATCTGTTTCCCCAAGCATACAAGATAACCAAACTATTAAAAACAGAATGAAGAAAACGATTAATTAAAATAGGGCAAGACCGATAGCTACAGAAAAGCATTAAAAATTAAAAACAGAAGCATTGTGCTTTGGGAGGAAAACCATATTACCTTCCAGGAGGCATCAAGGAGAACTTTGTAGGTTTCAGCAACTTTCTTCTGAAACTCCAGCTTTTCATATCTCTCACCTCCATAACCTCCTCTCTCCGCAGCTTTCTGAAACAGAGAGTACAGACCCAAAAAAAAGGGTTACATACAAGGACCAAGATCCAATATGCTGGCCAACCAACAGTGAAATAAGACATTCAAATAAATTCATGTACTTGGGGAGGGGGCAAAAAGGAGAAATCCCAGACCAGTGCTATTGTTTATGCGCTTAAGAAAATAAGCAAGGTTTGAAATAAAGACGTAGATACTTGTAATGTTTTTCTTGCATACAAGAAAAACTAGAAATTCAAAGACTCACAAGGAAAGCAGCTTTAAGATGGTGTCTCAAACATAACCTAGCAACACTATTTAATGGCCATGAGAAAAGATCATTAGGTCACCTCTGGTGATATGTCAAGGAATATCACTGCATCTGGAGCAAACAAGCCAACCTCGGGTGCCTGCAAAGGATAAAATTCAATTTTCTTTCCACACAGACAACAAACACCTTACCTAGACCGTTCTAAAACGAATAGTCCCCTAGCTTAACTTATCATGCAAACTGTTTACCTTGCACCATTCAATGTCAAGTCCTTTGGCTGATGAGAAAGCGACTCCAGAATAAGAATAACGGTCAACAATGAGAGTAGTTCCAGCTTTCAGTTTGGTTTCCATCAATGATCTGCAAAAACACCCAGGTTTGGAATTTAATATTTACTTCTTCAAAATACGTTTTTCATCCTACAAATACCACATCCATATAAATAAATCAATAACTGACAGACATCTTATTTACAGGATTGTAATGCAGATTATGATGTCTCCATCAAATGTAAATGGTTGATACTTTATCTTGAACAAGCTTATCAATTTTGTCAAAGTACTATTCTGTCCCAAAAAATTAGCCAGCTTAGTAGAAGTTCAAAATTAGTTTTAGCGATAATCTCTGACTTGTCCCCCCGAGTGAAAATTCTTCAGATTTCAAGCACGAACACAAGGATCATTTTATTTGGCTCTAGTTCATTTCATATGCATATAATACTAAAATAGGAGATGAACTGGTAGAGAAGAAAAAAAATAGGGAAAAACTAGCAGAGGGATTTTAGCATTGAATAGATCAGTTATTGAACTAGTATAAGTAAGAACGTGAATTAATTTCAAATTATGTGCCACCTGGATATAAGAGGACAATGATTTTGAAGGTGCTTACTTGAAATCTTGAACTAGTACAGCTGACCAATTTAAATGCTAAAATACGTCAGCTGATTCTGTTTTCTCCTATTTTTGCTCCACTAGCCATTCCTCACCCGTTTTTCCTCCATCTTTTTTTTTTTTTGCCAACCTATTTTTCCTCCATCTAAATGTTAATCTCCTATTTTTCTTGATATTAACCACTGGTCATACTCTAAGTTGCATATAATAGTAAACCCTACCACACTTGAGCCTACGCCTCCAAAAGTAATATATATATACTCTCTCCGTTCAAAAATATAAGGCATTTTTTGAGGAGTTGGATGTTAAAAAATGTAAGGCATTTTTAATCTTTTAAGGTTTAATCATTGCTTTTTTACCAAAAGTGCCCAAATTGATGAATGACTTTATATTTATTGTAGAGTATTTAGTGGGGATAAATATGAAAAAATAGGATTAGTTTGAAAGTAGGTAACTACTTTATTGGAAGGTGAGATTCGGTTAAAAATACCTTACATTTTAACGAAGGAAGTATATTCTATTCTTTTATCTGTGGGTTACCATAAATTCTCTGTTGATCCCTGTCGTCTATTAAAATAGAAAAACTTCTTGAATCTTGTAAGATATGTCTTATTGCAAGGAATTAAGGGCTATGACCATCACCATGCTTCAAGGTTCCTTTTCCTTATTGTTTTAGTACAATCATAAGGATAATTATGGATGATGTTGCCTCCATTGTCACTGCTACTGTTGGTGTTCCTCCTGGTTTTGACATTGATGGCGTTGATGTTGTTCCTACTGTGCCATTGCTGCCTGCTGTCCCATACAGCTACCATCGTCAAACCTGAAGTTTTGTTTTACTTACTTTTTTATATCATCATACCAGAAGCTTTTTTTTTTTTTTTACTTACTTTTTTACATCATACACCATGTTATGTTCCCACACACAAATTGTAAGCATTCAAAAACCCATCTAGCCCTCAATCAATCATCTTCAAGATCTTCTTGCCTAACCATGGTGGAAAACGTCCTCACTTCTCTCTCTTCAAGCTTAATGATAGAGAGACACTAAAGCCTCCAACCACCCAACACCATGAGTTAAGAAATCCTCCTCCTACTCCTGCACCAGTATTGACTTCACTACTAAGGTTGAAGATTGGATAGAGGGTACATTTTTTAATTGTATTCAAGACAACCATACCCCATATATACCAAGCATGAGTGTGGCTTGTTTTCAGCCTTACCCATGCTTCATGGAATTCATCTATTGTTAACAACAAAAGAAAGTTTTAGGGAAGAGTTTTAAAAAACGGAAATATTTTGAATCCTTCATAGCTCCCCATTCCCCCTTGTTCTGTTACTTTTATGTTTCATTTTCACTGATTTCAGTGATAGACTACAGGTAAACATCCATCAACCTTAATTAATGAATAATGAATATAGTTAGACATCACTAAAGACCGAACAGATTTGTTGTATAGTCACTAGAACTGCATCGCCAACTTTATGCAATGGATTTCCTAGTTCATGCTCAGCCATCCACTACATAGAGCATTGATCACATATGCACATGACGAGCAACATCGTGAATTGAATCACCATGGGTCATGCTAACAATGAAAAAAAACAAAGCATGCTCTAATTGCCAGAATTTATAGTTCATAATTATCACAAAGAATTAACCGTCTATCTTCTAAAGGTTATTCTGATAACTCATATTTCTCCATGTCATTGATGGGATTTCAATGCCAGCTTCATTCTCTAGCAACAAAAGAGAAAACTTCCATTTCATGCTATCCTGCTCTCCACAGAATCTGTCATATGCGTTGCAGTTAAATATAGCAACTTAGTAAGCCCACTGTCATGAATTAAGAATTTGTTTTTATTTCTCTCAAGCTACAATTCCATTCTCCAAATATAAAGAACGAGGGTCCCAAATTGGTTGCAGAAGAAGGGCTCATTATTTGACCAACTTCATACGTAGATTATTACTTCAGAAACCGTTGCAACCAACCATTCTGCTACCCACCTCTCCTTCCTTAAGGTACATATTTTCAGGTGTACAAGTAATATAATCTAGACAGATAACAAAACATATTTGTTGACTAAAAACACCTCAAGCCCTGAACACTAACTAGATAGTAAGTGTAGATGTAGCTGATAATAGAAAAAAAAAAAATGACCAACCTCTTCTCCCAACGATTTGCACTAAAGAGAAGATGAATAGCGCGATCATCCAATTGAGACGTGTTACTAAGATAAGCAGATATCATTTGCCCAACATTCGTACATCTGTCAGGAAACCTCCATAATTCAGCAGAGACCCCTTGTCCCTCCAAGTATGAAACTAGTCGGCTACTTTGAGAAGACTTCCCAGAACGATCCAAGCCTTCTAAGACAATCAGAGAACCTCTAGGTTCCGCTCTTCTGTCTACTATATTATGGTTAGAATTAGATTCCATTCTTATCTGCCCATGAAAATACTTGTAAGAGAATTTCTTTTGAAAATTCAATGACCTTCGCACAGCTAAAACTCCAAGATTCCTGTGAAAGAAAAACCAGACCTTATAAAAGCTGAAATAAGAGCACATATATCCCTTGATCAATTACTGAGAGGCCCAAGCAAAGCACTGAAATTTAAACTGGATATCTTTGAATTTTCTTCATGGAAGGCCAGGGAAAGGGGAAAACAGAAAAAATGTTATACTAATCAGACTGAATACTAATTCTAAGTTTGAATAAACATAACGTAGCATGATAGAAAATGGCAGAATAGCCACAGTCAAAAATTGAAATGCAGCCAACTCTATAAGTAAAAACACCGGTTTCCATTATTCCACTCAAAGCCAAAAAGAGAAGGAGAGTGACAAGATCTTACAGTGCTTTAGAAACGGTAATATGTGAAGAACAGAGCATACCCTCAGTAAGCCATCAAACTTGACGAAAATTTAAAAAAAAAAAAAAAGATGATTATTAAGATCCAATCAGCGTAGAAGACATGGGGAACAAAGCAGAGAAGCGAAAAACATTCGATATCTGTAACTGGAGCATACCTGCAGGGAGAAATAATCAACATCAATATTGTGACAAGCTGGTGCGAAGTTAGGGTTTATGCTTTTTCAACCAAATCCCTCTGCTCTTTTGCTTTCTGTGTCTACCCAGTGTTTTGCGTCCTTGTATTAGAAAAAAAAAAAAAAAAAAAAAGTTTTTCGCGCCCTATCTTGAAATGAAAATTGCCTGCTTCCAAACGCACTGCACCAAAGAATGAGCAGGATTGGGCTGGACCAGGCCCCTGCCCAATGCCCAGCCCAAAAAATATACAGGCTACAAAATGTAGCCTGTTGCCCAACCCTGCCAACAAAAAGCCCTCTCATTTTGGGCTGGGCGGGCTGGGCACTTTCACGCTGCCCTACCCATCATTCTTAAAAACAAATATAAAATAATTTATCAAAAAAATATAAAATAATTTAACTCAACATAACATCCACAAATTAAAAATTCACATCATAAAATACAAATTTCTGACTTAAAATATAAAACTACTATAAATCTTAATATAATATTCAATCACTCATAATCTAATTCAAAATAACAGTCACAATACATTAAAAATAATAAATTTCAAAAAGGTTGGAGCATCATATAACAAATATCAACAAGTTTTCATTATAAACATATTTTAAATAAACATAGAATTAACAGGTTTTCCTTTTTTAGATATGCCTTAACGTATTTTCCTTTTCAGTCCATTAACAGGTTTTAATTACAAACATAGAATTTCATTATGAACAACTATCAGAAGCTCAGGTCAGTGCAATATTTTAAAGCAAATTTGGTGAGTAAAGTGACCACAGAGACGAGCTATTCAGATAATGAGAGAGTACCCTATCTAAGATGTCATCCACCAGTCCCACTAAACTCGTTTAAGCGAACGACATAAAGAATCTCATATAATGAACAAGAAAACAACGTCAACAAGTACCAGAAATACCTTAGAGACAGCAGAACGTGAAGGAATCAGAGGACCCACAATGAGCAACTCGAATCAGAGGTGAGAGGCGACGAAGCAGAGAACACGGCGTGAATCAGAGGAAAGGCGACACAAATCAGAGAAGAGAGGCTACGCAAATCAGAGGTCCGATCGACGGTGGCTGCGGAGGGGAGGGGCTAGAGCTTGGCTTGCGCAGGGGAGATGCGAACTGCGAATGGCAGGGTGCTGTGCATGTGCGAGTAATTTTGCCTTGGGAGCAGAGATATTATTATTATTATTATTATTATTATTATTATATTAAATAAACTAATAGCACCAGACTAGACCACCTGATCCAGACACCCAATCTCCTATTCAGTCCAAGTCAAAAAAATAATTTAATCTTTTTAATTTTTTTATTTTAAAGAACCAGTGTTTATAGGGACCAAATCACCTCAGGTCAAATCAAGTCAGACTAAATTGACAGACTCTCTAACAGCCCTAACCTTAAGTAAGTCTAAATTTAAAAAGAATAAATAATTTTTTAAAAAAAACTCAAGCTGAGCTAAACGAGCATGGCAGCATGCCTTATCCACTACCTGACCTTATCCATTACATTAACCTAACTCAAACATGCCCAAAACATTTCAAGCTTTTTTTTTCAGTTGGGTTGAGCAAAATTTAATCGAGTTTAGGTGAGCATACCAGGTTATTGGCATCATGAACACCCCTAATGCACCATCATTTCTTTTATTTCTCTTGACTAATTAGGTATGTCATCATCAATAATTAACAAATTGATCAGTAGATAAATGAGCACGACTAGCTCATATGCGCTCAAACCTATAAATTCAATTGCCTAAAAAATAAAATTTGTGGTTCTTTCAAGCCTGGCTATTATCGACTAGGTTCAAAGGCCAACCTTGAATCCTTTTTTTATTTTTTATTTTTAAAAATGTTTAAATTAAAAAAATTATATTATCATATTATATATTCATTTTCTAAACTATGAATTATAATTATCGTGTTTAGAGATTAAAAATAAATAATATAAATTTTAATTTTAAAACATAAACATATATTTTAAAAGTTAAATTCAATTTAAAAATTAAAAATATTTTATATTTTATTGATAAAACAAAAAACGAGCTTAAATAGGCTGCCCAAACCAATTTTTATTAGGCCTAAATGAGCTAGACTTAGAAACCTAATTACACTAAAATTTATTCATATTTTGAGCACAAGTCGTAAAAAAAATGCTTAAATGAATAGTATGTCAAGCTTGACCTCTTACGTGGTCTCTTAAACCAGTATCATAAACTTTTATATAATGTAATTTTTTTTCTTTAACATTTAAAAATAGTGCATTGAGCATCCTACCGTAAAAAAAACTGACATTAATTATTAGTTGACTTAAAAATTATAAAAATAATCTCAAGAATTACAAAAAATGACTCATAAAATTACACACAAGTACCCTATAATTAATTAATATCAATTAAGTACCTTAAATTATATATAAATAATAGGATGCAAACATTATTTCTTACTCACATGAAACACCAAAATATGATTTTGACTTATCATTATTTTACAGACTTAGTTGATATTAATTTTTTATCAAGCATTTACTTGTAATTTCATAGGTCTAATTTCAATAATTTTTAGGAAAAATGTCAATTAAGGACTGTTGGAGAAAATTTATATTAGTTAAAAATTACTTATTGTCAAAACTTGAATGAATACTTGTTGATTAAGGTTAGTCTTTTATTAATAAGTATTCATTCAGGTTTTAACAATAATTTATTCTAAATTAACAACAGTTCATTCAGGCTTTTTTCCATTCAAATTTTGAACAACTAATCCCTAATGGATATAAATTTCCTTCGGAAGTCATTCATCACTATTTTCCCTAATTCTTAAGTCATTTTTGTAATTTTTTTAGTTAACTTCTTTAACAACGAAGTACTCAATGCATTATTTTTATATGTTGAAGAGGAGCATTATACTAAATGTAAGTTTAGGATGTTAGAACCCCCATAGTGAATAGTTGATAGAGGAAGATACTCTTTAACTGTTAATCTTACATATTTAATATACTTTTATTGAATCAAATCAAGACATAACAAGTGAATTTAATGTGTTGATTGACAATAATAAGTAAGCACATCAAGTATATATAATTAAGTATGTAAGTTTTTCATGCAATATGTATACTTCACAGTTTTGAGAAAATATCAATCAAGAATTACCACAGCAAATTTATAGTAAAAAATGACCAAAAGATTTTGAATTATTACTACAAAACCAAGGGACTAAAACAAAATTAAGTTTGAGCATAAAATGACTATGATATCCTTGATTTTCTAAAAGAAAAAATTACCCTACTATCATCGGCCAAATCACTACCAGAGATCCTATTTGTGGCAAGGTCACTGAAGCTCCAACGGTGACAATTTTATTGCATAATTAGTGAAGGTGGCTAAGAGGGGCTTGATTTCATGATCCCTTAGCCACCTAGCAAACCCGGTGGCTATCAAGCCACCAAACTCATTTAATTACATTTGACAATATATAAAAGTAGTTCAAGCTTTTAATTTAAGCTTCTACAAATGTTAGCTCTTTACTGACAAGTATCAATTCGGAATTTAATAACAATTCATTCAAAATTAACAACAATTTATTCGTGCTTTAACAAATTAGAGAAACTAGCAGAAAGGGCATAATTGTGCAAGTGTTAGTCTTTTATTAATAAGTATCCATTTAAGTTTTGATAACAACTTACTTAAAATTAATAATAGTCTATTTGAGCTTTATCAAGTTAGAAAAATGACTAGAATGACCTTAATTGTGTAAGTGTTAGTCATTTATCAACAAATACCCATTCATGTTTTGACAACAATTTATTTAAAATTAATAATAATCCATTCAAGCTTTAACTATAAGGTGTCCCTTGCTAATTTTCAAACTAACTCCAATTTCAAGATAATCAAGAAATTATCCCAAACAAGTTACCGAGTGTATAAGTTTTTCAAAAACAAGGATCCCGAGTTTTCAAAGTTAAAACATTACAATATACCTTTACAATTCAAAATCAGAGTAGTTAGATGTATGTGGAAGCATGTAATCTTTCACAACTTAAAGCATTTACATGCAATATGGAAACCATAAAAAATATGCAAAAAAATGGACATGTATCACAACTTATCATACATGCACTACGAATTATATGCCTTTGTGCCATACACCACAGTATACTGCATGTATTTGATAGCACTGCTGCTGTCATTTTACAGCAATAGGGGCAAATTTTCAACACATCCCATTTCTCCATCTGATATCCAATTAAGGCAATATAAGTATTTACAGAAAGCTTTCCTCTAACTTTAGTTAATATCACTAGTTTTACAATCAAATTATTTCTCAGATAAAAAATTGGACACCCATTTTACAACTTACTCCTTTACACCACTTAAACATAACTTGGGCATACTAATTTCATACCAAGTGCTGAAAGCTTCAAACACAACCCAAACTACACTTAATAGACTATTTTGAACTTATGTAATACACCATATCACTAACAACACACATAAAATACATTTTCAATACTTAGCCCCTTAATTACAAAAATATAAGGGAAGTCTTAAATTCATAAATCATCATATCATTCTACAATAATCACAATCTCACTAACTTCTTACTTGTACTAGTATCTTGGCCCTGTGATAGATTTCACAATCAGTATATATACACCTTAGGGCCCAAAATATACAATATAGTTTAACAATATCCTAGTATAAGTAAGCCCAAAAACATAGACAATCCTAACTGACAATATCATTTGAATTATACACATAACAATAATTAAAATAAATGAGGCCTGTTAATTTTAGGATTAAAGTCCTAAGCCTTAGTCTGTTTCCCTCGGTTGTGTCCTAATGAGCTAGCCCCTGTAATATTGAAGATAAAGAGGTGAGTACAACCACTCAGTAACTAAGGTCCATCTAACTTAGACTAATATATGTTAATCAATTTAAATATAAGTGATAAACATTGTCATGCTCAAGTCGAATTAACATATTCAAGCACATACTTGCTTTTTCATCATCAATGGCATAAATTCATGAAGCAATATTATGAGAATCAATATCTATAGTAGTGCAAAATTAATCACATCATTTCATCTCAAGGAACATGATACA